GCGATTACAGCAGACCAGTCCCTACAAGCAGCACCCGTTCACGAGTATGACGGATGAGCCAGCCATCACTGCGCTCGACCATATTTTAGGGAGCCCAATGACCCGGCCCACCACGCCGTCACAAGTCACCAGACTCTTATGATATGTCAAATCTACCGTCAGTTCGGAATGATTTCGAGATGAGAAGAACTGACAAGAAACTCAGCTCGTATTCTTTTCAAATAAATGTTGTACATCTTTACAATAATACATGTTTATTTGACGGCCTCGGTAGTCTAGTTGTTTAATACACTGTCTTACTTCCGATGGTCGCGGGTTCGATTCCTCGCACGGCATAAACATTTGTATTCATGAGTATGATTGTTTATGTCGGTCTGGGTGTTTTTTATGTATAATATGTATATATTTAGAAAAAAATATCTATGTATTTGTATCAGTTATCTAGTACTCATAACACAAGCTTTAGCTAGCTTAACTTGGGTCTAGATGGCGCTGTGTGAATTGTCCTGAGATTATTATTATTATTTAAATTAAAATGTGGGAGAATATAGTGAACATATCTATATATAGCAGGTACCCCGCTACAGATAATATTTGAAAATTTAACATTCACACCTATCAATTAATATAAAAATGTAAATTAAAATTTAAAAATTATATTCAGTGTAACAAATAAACAATTTTCTTTCTTTCTTTCAATTTAGTGTCCGAGATTAAAAAAACTAACTAAAGTGTTGATATGAAAGTACATACAGACAGATATGACAAATCATGCCATATATCTAATACTTGCTATAAAAACACATTATTGCCATTAGCACTTTCATTAGATTAATTATATTAATTACTAGCTGTTCCCGCGACTACGTCCGCATGGAATTTAATTTTATATTTTTTAAATATAAGAACTTTTCTAAAATATAAATAGCCTAAGTTACTCCTTATTATATCAGCTACCTGCCAAAAAAGTCCCGTCAAAATCGGTTAAGCCATTTCAGAGATTAGCCGGAACAAACAGACAGACAGACAGATAGACAAAAATTGTAAAAAATGTTATGTTGGTGTATGTACCGTATTTATATTCATATGCATGTAGTAAAAAACGGTTATATACCGTTTTAAACTTGACGCGGTCATTATTTATACAGATATAATTAGTAAAAATCACGGGATCTTACCACGTTTTATATTTATTTGCTGAGTTCCCGATATTTCGGTAGTGTTTCAACCAAATAAAAATTCAAAAACTCAGCAAATAAATATAAAACGTGGTAAGATCCCGTGATTTTTACTAATTATACGTATAAAAAAACGGTTATTTCAATATTACAAACAGATACTCTAATTTTATTTATATGTATAGATATACTACAGTGATATATTAAATCAATACCAAGGAACTTTGCAACATGTTATGCGCCTAAAACAGACTTAGTTGCTTTGAGAATGGATATTTTTCATTCTGAATATGGTGAAGTTTGTTTGTGGACATTGTCGTGGAATGTCTGTGTGTCTGTGTGTGACACAGATCGTGGTTACCATACCGGGCGAGCGACAGATGGCCTCTTGCATCATTGGGGTGTGATGCTTAAGGGAAATATGTTTTATTTCGTTATAATAATTGGCCTGAAATGAGAGATATAGAAATAAAATAGAAATAGAAATAATCTTTATTCAAATAAACTTAATATAAGCACTTTTGAATAGTCAAGTTTTTTTTTATTCTACCGCGTATTCGGAATGCAGATTCATCACAAGAAGAATAAGCAAGAAACTTGTGTGTTGCTCTTTTAATTATGTTATCTTTATAAGTATTGAAATGTATAAGATGAGAGTAAAATAAAATAGAGACCCAGTGATAGCCCACCTGATGGTAGGTGGTAACTACTGTGTATATAACCACGGATATGTCATCATGACTGTGATATCCGTAATACTAATAACACTCATGCGTTGATATTTAGAAGTTAAATATACAAACTTTCATCCCCTATTTTAACCGCTTGGGAGTAGAATTAATCAAAGTTCTTTCTTAGCGGATGCCTACGTCATAATATCTACCTGCATGCCAAATTTCAGCCCGATCCGTCCAGTGGTTTGGGCTGTGCGTTGATAGATCACTATGTCAGTCACCTTTGAGTTATATACATATATTTAGACTATTAAAATTAAATTAAAATTACAAAAAAGCGGTTTCTATGTTGATTTTATTTCTTGTTTGTAAATCTAATTTTAAAAAATATTTATTACAAATTATATTTAGACTATATCCACTTATAATTAAACTATACGATGATATGGGACACAGTCACCTAGATACATCAAAATAATAATTGCATTTAATAATGTCTAGTAAGACAAATTCAATATTGTCTACTAAGCACTGCCGTGTCTAAACTGTGTCACCCCACCTTACATTTTCCTATTGTCATTTAGTATATAAGATCAATATTTATATGTTCTTATTGTCAGTTTATTATCATCTGTAATATACATCGTCTCGACCAACAACATAGTATCACTCACCCGCAACAATACAAAAAAAATCTTATTTTATTTATTATGGAAGGTAAGACTTCTGCGTATAAGTCAATGCGGGAAAGACTTTGTTTTGTGCTAAGTAAAGAAACCTGGCAAATTGGCAATTGAAATGGACACTAAGTTGCTGACCAATGCTGATAGTCTTTTGCTGATTCAACATTGTTGATATGACGGTAGAACTAAATAAGATATTATGTTGATAATTGAAGAATTTATAAATTATAATAATGTTTTTGTAGAAAATATCTAACTTAAAATTCATAGCGCTGACAAAGTTATCTGATTTAACAGAGATTAAGTGCGTAGCGGTTTCTATGTTGATTGTCGCATACCTAATCCTTGTTAATGTAAAAAAATATTTATTTAAAATGCAATACACAAGTTTCATTCTCATTCTTCTTGTGATGAGTCAGCATTCCGAATGGGTGGTAGAATAAAAAAATGTGACTATTCAAAAGTGCTTATATTAGGTTTATTTGAATAAAGATTATTTCTATTTCTATAATTATTATTAAGAGATGATCAAAACTTATATAGAACTGCATATTTGAACATTGATTATTACAATTTAAGCAGACAGTTTTAACGTTTGTATAATAAATCAACTGCAAATGTAAATATCTACTGCAAGATATAATGTAAGTACCCACTTAGATAATAGTTGTAAATAATCAGGGATGTTATGGATATGCAATTTCGGATACGGATAGGTTTCGGATATAGGAATGATTATTATACCGGATACGGATACGGATGTGGATATTAAATTATTTCGGATTATCCGTTAGTTTCGGATAATTTCGGTTACGGATATTATTTTTTTAAGGAATTTCATTTTAAATGGTTCTTAAAAATTAGATAAACCGTTATAATCTAAATATATTTCCTTTATTTGGTCAATTTCATTATACCACGCTGACGAATCCGATATTATCCGAAAACACAACTATTATATATAAATAAAATTTTTTTCGGATTCGGTTACGGTTACGAATATTTTTTTATATCGGAGAGTTTCGTTTACGATTACGGAGCTCCCCAAAATCCCTGTAAATAATCATGATTCTATTAATAGTCATAGTAGGTACAAAAACTTAAACAGTGTTATCTATATTTTTATGTATTTTTTCCCCTTAAATCAGTTCGTAATCGAGAACTACACGTAGGTGTGGTAGTCATTTGTGTACTTGTTTATATTCGTATAAGTGTTCTATGTATCGTATGTATTAAAAAAAAACTATCTATGTATTTGTATCGGTTGTGTAGTGCCCATAATACAAGCTCTCTTTGCTTAGCCTGTGTACGTAATATTACATTATCTGTGGCTTGAGACTAGATAGCACTCTGTGAATTGTTCAGAGATATTATTGAATCAAATTATTTATTTACAGAACAAATAATTACAGATTTTAAATATTATATCCAGTGTAATATACAATAGAAATATTCGAAAATTCACTATCTATTGTATATATAGTCTTTGGTATAATTAATGTTGACGTTTATAATGTACTCTGTGCAGTTGACAGAGTCTGTATTGTAAAATGGCGGGAACTGTCAAATTAAATGTGAAATGCAAATTAAGTTTTTATTTAAATCAATATTTTCGGAGTTACATAATAGACTAACATTACAATACAATAACTATCATACATATATATTTACATATATATACATACATTTACAATATGATGTAGTATATTATAATATAATGTACATTTTTATACTAATATAAATGTATAGGATAAATACTAATCTTGATATATGGAGCATGAATTAGAAATTTTATCTTTATGTGTTCTTTTTTTAACATAAATTCATTAAAAAAATACTTAAATTATCTGTATCGTTAACATATACTGTAATAAGTTATCATTACATTAAAAAAAATGTTGCCGGCTGACGATTATAAAAACCGTTTGATATGCCATTTAAAAATGAGCCCTATTCATATAGTGTGAGTTTCTTACCTTGCTTTTTAACTGTATACCTGAAAAATATTTGTTTTGTTTTATATAGTTTATACAATGTTTTTTGTGGAAATAAATATTATTATTATTATTTAAATACAGTACAAATTGGCCACGCGTGTAACTAAGTCCGTATTATTAAAATTGTATTACAGATATGTATTACAAGAAAATGGTTCCTTCCTAAAACATTCTTTGTGCTATTTTAAGACTAGGCTAAGATGTCTCTAGATGTGAAGCAGTTATTATATTAATATGTTCTAACAAAGCACGAAAATAGATGTCAATTGTTACATGACATCTGTATATACAATATATATATAATAGATAATGTAGTAACTGTCATAAGTGTCTCATTAGGGACGATTCAAGACTCAATGTAAATGTGTAGGTATAATATCGTTAGCCGCTCTCAGGAAAGGAGCATATTCAAACGTTGTTTTATTCAATACTGCACTGCAAATGATATTTATGAAGAGATTTCAATTATTATTTACAATACTTATTCAAGACGTATCTCTCAACGAACTCTTCGCACACTTCCAGTTGTCTCGACATGTATTCTGCGGACTCATGGCAGTGCGACATGACGGGCTCCGTCCGGTCTTCTCCCAAGTACCTGTCATATGTCTCCGGGTCATCGAACGTCCTCTGAGCTGTTCTCGGCTCCATTAACACATACGGGAACACAGTAACCGCGAACACTAGTCCAAACATGCGACTTTTCTCGCACCAATTCAAAAAATCCTTCTCGTCGTATCCCAAACGCGTCACTTCCTCTCTGGCACAGTCTTCAAGACGCTCCGAGAAGACTGTGTAGTAATGATGGAAGATATTACTTTCGTATCGCTTCCGGAAGGTTCTAGAAGTAGTGCAGTATAATAACAGAGTGACGTCAAAAGCCGGTGGGCCATACCGTAAGCATTGGAAATCTATGAGCAATGCATTGCAAGGAATACTATTCTCGTATCGAAACATGATGTTATTCGCCCACAAATCCTTATGATTCAACACATTCAAGGTGTTATTATATTCTTTAAAGCTATTACAAGCTTTGATAAACAGCTCCGTTAGCCTCGACTCCATATTTGCTAAGTTATTATATTTTTTTGAAAACACTCTCAGGAAGTTTGACGTTAGTTTAGCAGCGCAACGAATCCACGGAGAGTCTTTAAAAGTCGGTTCCAATAGTTCATGTTCGTATTCTGTGAGAAACGACCATGTTTTGTTGCCATTGATGCGTTTCTTGGTCTGATAGTTGAGTAAGTCGGCATGGTAACGAGCGATGGTCGTGGTGGTGACCAGTACGTGTGGCAAATCAAAAGTTTGCAATGTGGGACGAGTGGTGTATCCCTGCACACCCAAGTCTGGCATTACGAGTATTAATTTGTTGTATAATAATGCTTTTGCACACCAGGAATTTGGTTCTGAAATCAATGAATTGTTGATTATACCATGTGTACAGCGCGCATGGTTTTTTTTCGGACTAATCTGATGCTGTTGGCCGCAGCTGGCCTTTACAGCTTCACCGGACGATAGGCGAGTGCAGATGGCACTCCAAATCAAGGAAGGATTTATGGAGCGGATGAAGGCCAACTCCCGCCTGACGGATACGACTTTAGTCTGAGGGCACCGCTAGGGGTTCGAACCTCGGCTCAGGCCGTCGTAACATCGGTCCCTGTTTGAATTGGACGGGGGATCGATCCGAAGGGCGATCGGGGGCGCCTTCATTCTTAAAAGTTGCCGCGATTTACAAATTATGACTTAGTATTTCAGCTGTACCACATTCGTGATATATTTTTAGAATAGAAAATCATTTATTCAAATAAACTTACATTGAAGCACTTTTGAATAGAATTTTTTTTAATCTACCGCTTATTCGGAAAGCTATCTCATCACAAGAAGAACGAGCAAGAAACGTGTTGCTCTTTTAAATAATTTTATTCTTACTTTACATTTTTAAGTTTAACTGTACAAACTACCAATTAGCACTAATTCAATTAAATACTCAAATAGAAAAAATATTAAGTGCTAGCTTTTGCCCGCGGCTTCGCTAGCGTGGAATTTAACTTTATTTTTCTAAAATAAAAGAATTTTTCTAAAATGAAAGTAGCCTAAATTACTCCTTATTACATCAACAACCTGCCCATAAAAGTCCCGTCAAATTCGGTCCAGCCATTACAAACAGACTCCAACTTTGTTTATATGTATAGATATCACTTACCGTTACCAGCGTTCATCTCATCAATTAATTGAAACATCAGTTGCTCCCGTCTGAAATAATGATTGGCTTCAATAAAATCCGCTTTCGGTTTGTTCCCAGGCGGTACACGTTTTATGAACAGGTGTATCTTCTCTATGGACCCGTTCACCATCACCTGCAAAGAAGCCCTGAGATGGTCTCCAAGAAACCCAGCGAGTCCTTCACACGCCGGTCGTACATCTGCACCTGTCAGTTTCCAATCAGTCTGTCCATTTAATGAAAGATCTATAACTGAATGCAATTGTTTGTCATTTAAAATCTCCTGTATGTTTGACAAACTGTTCACGATTTCGTTAACCATTTTAGATTTAAGCCCCGTAGTTATTTTCTTATGCAACTGACAGCTCTTGTTTGTGTCATTATATATACATTTATGTTTATTTTAAAACTGATATTCACTAGAACAGGAGCGGATCTACATTGGGTTTTTGGGGCCGTTCGAGTGTTACGTAAGCACTATGGGGGGGCGGGGGCTTTTTTTTTTTATGGATGATAATGGTATGGTGCACCCGCCTGCGCTAACGGTTTACGCTGGCGGGGCACCAGTGGAGGATGATAAGATGAGCATGAGGTCAGGTCAGTTAGCTCATCGTGACAAATTCACTAGGAATTTATCACGATGATTTCCAGGGGGAACCACGTGGAGGTCAACCTGATATGGGGGGCGGGGGCTATGCTTTGCTCCCTAAAATATAGTCGAGCACAGTGATGGCTGGCTCATCCGTCATACTCGTGGACGGGTGCTGCTTGTAGGGACTGGTCTGCTCTAATCACTATGACTGATTTCCTCTTATTAATTGTTTGACCAGTTGTGTATTCAATATTTTTCTATTTGATTATTTAATTGAATTAGTGCTAATTGGTAGTTTGTATTTACACACTTAAACTTAAATTGTAAAGTAAGAATAAAATTATTTAAAAGAGCAACACGCAAGTTTCTTGATCGTTCTTCTTGTGATGAGACAGCTTTCCGAATGAGCGGTAGATTAAAAAAAATGTAATGACTATTCAAAAGTGTTTCAATGTAAGTTTATTTGAATAAATGATTTTGTATTCTATTCTATTTGCTTATTTTGGATGGCATGGGGGGTGGGGGAGTCTAGATGATGATTACGTCATCGGTAGTTATTTACTTTTTTACAAGAATGGCAACCCTCATTGTCTTTGCTAAAAAATCATTGCATTAATTGAAAAATGTTTACGTAAGCATAGGGGGAGGGGAGCTTTGCTTACTTTTGCTGACTGATGGGGGGTGGAGAGGTAAATAAATGTAATGAATCTGCTTACGTAATACTTGAATAGCCCTTTATGGGCTGCAGGCCAGGGCCCCGTAGATATAAAGGGCCCTTAGCCCCCAATGAAAACTATAGGCGATATTTACAATATAAAATGTATAATATTAAAAAATCTATCATAAGGTTGACAACCCTGAGATTAATCAACCCCTAGATGCGAGTGTCTAACGAGCAGAACGCGGATTTCCCTGTCGCTTGTTTCTGGTCTACGCATATAAATAAAATTGGAGTGTCTGTTTGTAATATTGAAATAACCGTGTTTTACTACATGCATATGAATATAAATACGGAACATACACCAAAATAATCAACCACATACACCAATCCCCCGTTCAATTCAAATGGGGATCGAAATTACGACGGCCTGAGCCGAGGTTCGAACCCCTAGTGGTGCCCTCAGACTAAAGTCATATCCGTCAGGCAGGAGATGGCCTTAAGCCGCTCCATAAGTCCTTCCGCGGGTTTGGAGCGCCATCTGCACTCGCCCCTAACGTACGGTGAAGCTGTAAAGGCCAGCTACGGCCAACAGCATTAGAGTAGTCCGAAAAAAAAACACCAAAAAACATTTTTTACAATTTTTGTCTGTCTGTCTGTTTGTTCCGGGTAATCTCTGAAATGGCTGAACCGATTTTGACGGGACCTTCATTGGGAAATAGCTGATGTAAGAATGAGTAACTTAGGCTACTTTTATTTTAGAAAAATAATGTTTAATTTCACGCGGACGTTGTCGCAGGTACAGCTAGTTGAGTAATATAATTAGGTAGGCCCCTAAGTTTAAAAAAAAAAAAAAGATTACTATAAAATTGAAGAATTCGTTAACGATAATAATGTTTTTGTAGAAAAATTTTAAATACTTAGCTCTGACAATATTATCTGATTACACTAATAATGAGTGCGTAGCGATTTCTATGTTGATTGTCGCATGCCTCTTACTTGTTATACTGTAATTATTTATATAAAAAAAAACATCTATTAAAAAGAGCAACACACAAGTTTCTTGCTCATTCTTCTTGTGATGAATCTGCATTCCGAATGAGTGGTAGAATCAAAATATGACTATTCAAAAGTGCTTGTAATGAGTTTATTTGAATAAAGATTATTTCTATTTCTATTTCTATTTTTAGCCCAGGGCCCCCAAATTCACGATCCGCCCCTGGACTATAGCAATTTATCATTTAGAAAGTATATCAGATGTCGGTGTAATATTTGCTAATTTGAATGCAATAAAGTATACATAAAGACTAATATTCATTGAATGTTATTTGTACTATAGATTGTGGAAAAGTAGATAATTACTATTTGTTTATTAGATAGATAACTTTATTCAACAATTACAAACACATAGCATACGTGACATACATTTTATAAATATAAATAAAGTTAACAAATTAAAGATGCAGGAATATAAATATTACAAATTAAAAAATGGAGGTGGCTTTATGTGTCGCAATGATGAAGAGGCAACCAACTCAGCATGAAGCTACAGATAAGTCTGCAGCGCTGATATTCTGTAGGATCCTACAATTAAACAAGCTGTTCCTGCGACTTTGTCCGCGTAGAATTTAACTTTATTTTTCTAAAATAAAAGTAGCCTAAAGAACTAAAAAATATTTTGTTCGTCTTAATTTATTTGTTCCATTAGGTACTGATAGGTTCAAACTAATACATTTACATTCTGTATCATCCCTAATTATATCCTCATGGGGGTTGAATTTATCAAAATCCTATTTAACTGAACGTCTTCATCATAGTAGCTCCAATCTTTAATTTCAGTTCAATCAGTCGAACATCTAAGATTGTATAACAAGTTGACAACAGGATGAGTTTGTATAACAAACTTTCATCCCCTTAGGGGTGGAATTTATCAAAATCCTTTTTTAAGGCATGTCTACGTCATAGTAGTTTTATGGATGCAAAGTCTCAGCCCGATCGGTTTAAAATTGAGTTTCGTACAAACTTTCATCCCCTTGGGGGTAGAATTAATCAAAATCCTTTCTTAGCGGATGCCTACGTCATAACATCTACCTGCATGCCAAATTTCAGCCCGATCCATCCAGTGGTTTGGGCTGTGCGTTGATAGATCACTATGTCAGTCACCTTTAAGTTATATATATTTAGATGTTATCATAAGTACACATGAGTGTTGTTTTTGGCATTATTTCAGTGTATAAAGGTAGGACATTAAAGGTTGCATATCACGTTGTAAATAAAAAACAATGTAATTTGTATGTCTATTCTTCATTAGTCTTTTCAGACATATATAATGGCCTATAGCGTAATGGTCCGTGAACAGCTTTTTTCGTGGCTGTATAAATCGATACTAGAACGGCATGGCCTACCACAGGGCCGACAAGGGAAACTATCGGCAGTAGTCTGTCCTGAGCCGCCTAGGTGGCGCTTCCGTCTCTTGTCAGCAAGCCTTTGAAGCCAGGCATCATCGCAAACCCTTCGACCCTGCATTACGCGTTTGGCCAATCTGATCTACTGGTTGCGAGCTTTTCCCAGCCACGGTGGTCTATTTGAAATGTGGTCATGTCACGTTTGGCCCAATCCTTAAAGCGAAGCAAAGGCCTCCCTAAACTCCTGAGCCTCATTAAATCTTTCCACGAGGATATGGAGGGCAACATAGTTTAACGGTCAGTCGTCTAAATCGTTTGACGCTCGCAGAGGTGTGCGGCAGGGATGCGTCCTGGCTCCCACCCTGTTTGGAACATATTTCTCGCTCCTGATATACACAGCATTCGGCGATCACCAACAGGGTACCCATCTGCATACAAAGACTGACGGAAATATGTTCAATATCTCTCTCCTCGAATCTTTTCAGACAACGTCATTGGTTATATGTTACATTTACATGTAACTAAATAAAACAATACAATCTCATATAATAAAACTTTATTTCTTAATATTTGTAATGCTAAAATACCTGAACAAAAACGCGTTTTATAGTTTATATACTAAACTGGCGTAACAAACGTACTTACACTGGTCAACACAAGTATTGTTTCCTTAATTTTATTTCTGTTTCTGAGTGTTTTTATGGCTCCGAGTATGAAAAAAATACTGGGATATCATTTTGACGAAAAAATATCGAGTGCGATCTAGTTTTTTTAAATTCTACATATAAATTCACCACAAATATAGTAAAAACATATTTGTGGTGAATTTATATCGGGATTAATTACACAACATCTTGTTGACGAAGCCATATCGAAAACAACAGCAAAATATATTTCAGTGTCCAAAATAAAAACGCAAATCTAAGTTGAACATAGTAAATGAGGGAAGTTAGCTGTAACTAAAAAACGAAAGCTGTGAGAGAAAAATTGTTGCCATATTCAAATAATACGAGGTAGAAATGGAAAAAAATCGAAGGAAACAATTTTTATTTATTCGATGGCCAGTGTAAGTTGCCAGTTAAAATATAAAACTGATGTATATTTATAGTTCTTTTGGAAGACATCACTTGGCAATGTATATAATAGTTCATATTTTTGTATAACAATCCTAATTATTTAATTGTTAAAATGTATTAAAGTATATATAATAATATCACTTAACTTGACTGCTGAATTTAACAATAAGTCTCTAGACCAGACATTTTTGTGTAGTAGACCCTTTGCCATATTTTTCGGTTTTTGGTAGACCTCCATTCTTATCTGATATTGTTTTTTTTGAAAATTTATAACAGTAGAAAGGTTTAATGTTAAAAACAACAAGATCAAGATCAAGTCATCTTGTTGTTTTTACTTTGTTTTTAACACTAAACTTTACTACAGTTAGAAATTTAGAAAAAATCAATACCAGATAAGACCGGTATACAGGAAGTACCGGACCGGACAAGGTAGACCCACTTGGGTCTACCGAAAACCGAAAAATATGTGGTCTACGACACAAAAACGTCAAATACTTATTATTAAAAAACCTAAAACATTATTGTTATTTGTATAGACAGCACCCAAGTTATGTGACGAACAATCTAAAAAATAAATATATAATCTTACAATATAAGGCACATACTGGCAAAACTTATAATAAAAATTCGTAGTTACAAATGTCACGATCTATTATAATAAAACAATACGTCGTTTAAATAGAAAAATGGCACAATCAAAATGTACATTTATTACAACACAAACATTTTTAAATTTATTTAAATTACTTTTCCTTTCAAGTTTTAACAAAATTAAGTATTATATATAATTTTAAAAGTATTTATATAATGATTAAGACGTCGTGGTTAATTTAATTGACTTATATAAAAGGCGGCAATTCTAGCTTCTAATTTTGAAAAATGACATTTTTATATTTAATCAACGAATTGCTTTATGACTTCCTCTCAGCTGTCACTAGATGGTGCTAAAAATTTAATTTTATTTCCTTTATAATTTCTTTAAATATTAATTATTTATTACCAAAGAGAATCAATTACATTAATACAAACAATTAACTTTTTAAAAGGAAATTTTAATAGTTTTTTTTTTAATGTTATGACATCGAAACTAAAGCCAAACAGTTATATATATATTTTTTTTAATTATTTGTTATCTGACTATAAGACTAAAGCTTATATGACGATGTACCTTCAATGATTATAAAAAATATATCTACTTTAGTAAATATACCAATTGAATTGATTTAGCCAAAAGATCCTATGTCAATAAATGATTTTGAACTTGAATTCTGCACCACTAGTTTGTCATCAATATGTCCCTACGATATAATTATAATACGTATATATCCGAAATTTTACAAATAAATTTCATATTAAACTTATATTCGTGTCTTTTTTTAGATTAATTAATTATCTAACACAACTTTATTATACTAACATTTTCTTGTATCCTTAATATTCAGTCTTATATACTAGTAAATATTGTATAAAAAATATTATCAAAGAAGACATAGGTTTAAACCACAGATAGAAATACTGGACGATGCTTTATATGTAACTGCCTATCCGCCCATATAAACCTTCCTCTTGAATCACCAATGTTTTATATGTAACTAACTACCCGGGCCTGCTTTGCAAGGGTATATGTATTATACATATAAACTTTCCTCTTGAATCACCAATGTTATATATGTAACTAACTACCCGGGCCTGCTTTGCAAGGGTATATGTATTATACATATAAACTTTCCTCTTGAATCACCAATGTTATATATGTAACTAACTACCCGGGCCTACTTTGCAAGGGTATATGTATTATACATATAAACCTTCCTCTTGAATCACTCTATCCATTAAAAAAACCGCTTCAAAATCCGTTGCGTAGTTTTAAAGATTTAAGCATACATAGGGACGGACAGACAGCGACGGCGACCTTGTTTTATACTATGTATTTATATATATTGTTATATCACCTAATAAATCAATGTAGCCACTCAGCAATAAACATCTATTCTATTCTATTCTATTCATAATACCATTTATATATTTATAACAGCAAGGTCTTTTCTATCTGCGTTTAATATTCGGAAGACTATATTGGACAGTGAATGAACACAATTCAATATATTGAATTATGAATTCAATATTTCATATAATATTTATATGTAAATAAAACTTTTAAGTCTTGTTATATATTGTTCATTCACTGCTTATTGCAACTAATTTTAATACTAACATACAATCTATACATATAAATAAAATTCGAGCGTCTGTTTGTAATATTGACATAACTATTTTTTACTACATGCCTATGAATATAAATACGGTACATGCACCAGAATAACATTTTTACAATTTTTGTCTGTCTGTTTGTTCCGGGTAATCTCTGAAATGGCCTATTTTGACGGGAGTAACTATTGAATATTGAACACCATAGAAAATAGACGAGGAAAAATGTTAGGACACTTGATACGGCACGATGATTTCATGAAAATTATTATTGAGGGGAAAATAGAAGGAAAGAGGGGGAGGGGAAGACCAAGGAATAGCTACATCAAACAAACTGAGGACAAAATGGGAGTCGTGTCGTATCAAGAATTAAAGAGCATGATGGAAGATCGCGGAAAGTGGCAAGAGCTCCACCGACAAGAGCGTAGCTCTTAAATTATGAATGAATGAATGAACTGAGGCTACTTTTATTTTAGAAAAGTAAAGTTAAATTCCACGCAGACGAGGACGCGGTACAGTTATGTATATAAAACTTTTGAGTTTTATTAGATGTTGTTCGTTGACTGTTTATTGCAACTAATTTTAATATTAACATATAATATAACATACTATATAGGTACATATTGGAGGTCGGTACATATAATGAGTTGAGAATACTAGGTATATATTTCTCTCTCTGAACATATAAACTACATATAAATATCTTGGTTTTAACATCTATTAAATATGCATTTAATATTATATTTTACTTTACTTTTTTGTGAGTTTGCAAACGGCTTGGAAAGAAGAATAGCTGCAATCAGAAGTGCCAACCATAGAACGCTGTTGTTTTTTATTTTTATATCGAAAAACTTAGCTAAGTTGTTTATTTATGACCCCACAACGGTTTAATGTTATATTTTACTTTATTTTTTTGTGCGTTTGCAAATGGGTTGACAAGAATAATAGCTGCAATCAGCAGTGCCAACTATACAACACATTTTTTATTTTTATATCGAAAAACTTAGCTAAGGTAATTTTGTGCGTTTGCGAACGGTTGAAAAGAATGCAATCAGAGGTGCCAACTGCACAACACTGTTTTATTTTTTATTTTTATATGGGAACACTTAGCTAAGGTACTCTTTATTTGTGACACTAGCTATGTTAATATTCATTTATTAACACAACAAATGTTAATATTTATTTTCAAATTAAATAATAAATGCAGATATCGTGACAGTCTTGTCTCATAGTTTAACTTATATGTAATTTCTAGCCACTATAAATATAAATTATAGTGATATATGAGGAGATTCTCTATAATTCAATATAATTATTAACTACATTAAAAAAAATAAGCTTATTTTACATTGGAAGTTTAGTTTCGTACTAGTTGTATTAAATTAGATTTCCTCTGGAAATTTATTTAATAATTTAAGACAAAGTGTTCGGTGAAAAGATTGTATTTTTTTTTTTACATTTGCGAAGAAGCTCGCAGCGGACGGTCGACGACGAGTAACGGTTGCAGTCACTGCAACGTCGTATGTAGCGGATGGTCGGTGACGTTAGCGTGTCGGTTGCAGCCGATCGAGCGCTGTATACAGCGGGCGATCGGTCACGTGGTAGTCACGTTGGTGAAACTGCGCGAGCGCTGAATGCAGCAGGCCGTCGGCGACGTCAGAGGTGCGGCTGCAGCCGCTGTAGCGCTGCATGCAGCGAGCCCCGGGCGCCGTCAGAGGAGCGGCTGCAGCCTGGCGAGCGCCGCATGCAGCAGGCGGTCGGCGGCGGCGCGGGGGGCGCGGTAGTGCGCGGGGGCGGCGGGGGGCGGGGCGGCGCGCCAGGCCACCACGTGGTCGCGGCCCGTCGTCAGCGACGCGCTCACCGCGAACAGCCGCCCCGCCTCCCACGCGCCGCGCAGCGCGCCCAGCACCTGCGGGCACGGTGATCACTACCGCGCGACAGCTACGTACGAGGTGTGGGGAGTGTGACGAGTGTGACGAGTGTGATGCGTGATCACCTAGCGTCCCATCGGCATGTCCAGCAGCAGAAAGTGTCACTACGTGTATGGTGTGGTGAGTGTGATGGGAGTGATAATTGTGGAGAGGTACGTATATAGTGTGATGGGTTTGATGAGCGTGGTAAGTGTGGTGTCGTGCTCACCTTGCGTCCAAGGAGCGTCCGGCAGCAGTGAAGCCCGTAGTTGAGGTACAAGTGTGTTATACTAAGTATGGTAAGTGTGATGAGCGTGACGAGAACGGGACATGTTCTCCTCTCGTCCGAGCGGCGTGTCCGGCAGCAGCTAGTGCTACAGGGGAGTTAGGTGTATGGAGTGATAAGTGTGATGGGAGTGATGAATGTGGTGCAAGGACACCTCGCGTTCTTGTAGCATAACCGGCAATAACGAATATCGCTGGATATCGCGAATATCATAAGTACCTCACATATGTAATGTGATGAGTTTGATGAGCGTGGTGAGTGTGGTGTCAGCTAAATTTGCATTCGAGCAGCGTGGCTGGTAACAGCGAGTGTCGCAGGAGAGGTACGTATATGTTGTATTAAGTGTGATGGGTGTGATGAGCGTGGTGAGTGTGATGCGTACTCACTTCTCGTCCGAGCGGCGTGTCCGGCAGCAGCGAGTGCCTCGGGAACCCCACCGCGTAGTAGGGCGCGCCCGGCCGAGGGTGCCCGGGGCCCTGCCGCCCCGACTGGAAGCTGCAACATACGGACATACTCTCACCATGTTACAGAACATATTGTTCAGGTAGGATTCCAGCTGCAGGTCCACCTGAGTAAACTAACAGTCGTCGCCAACAGATAGAGTATCCCTGAATCCCTGAGCCGCATTTTATTTTTTTCCCTTGGCCAAAAACTTCTAAAATACTTCAGTAGTATGTATTACGAAGCCTAATGAATGTGAACTGCTATTCAGAGGGTGGGGCTCCGGAGTAGGACCCTAATAAAACCTTTTTTTTAAACTATACCTTTTACCGGCAGGCTGCCGGGCTGCATGCACCACGACATGAACCCGGGGGGCTGGCCCCGCAGCAAGGAGTCATGAGAGAGTGTGGAGGGTACCTACTTGTATGTGACGAGTATGGAGGCGCAGTGCGGGTACGCGGGCAGGCTGCCGGGCTGCAGGCACCACGACATGGACCCGGGGGGCTGCCCCCCGCCGCCCCCCGCCCCGCCCCCGCCCCCCGCACACGTCGCGCGCTCCTCGCGCCCGTACACCCGCCCGCACACCTGGCACGAGATGTACAGCTGCTCCTGCACATTTGAGTTTGATGTCAGTGTCCACAGACCATCGATACACATTTTGGACTTTAAGCACTTTACAGTAAATCTTAATTTGGATGGACGCGGTAGTCTAGCAGTTTAGTATATTGTTATATTTGCGACGGTCGCCGGTTCGAGATTTTCTACGACGCAAATATTTGTGTTCATGTGTAAGATTGTTTGTATTGGTACGTGTACTACGTATATATTAACAAAAATGTATCAGTCGTCTAGTATTTACAATACAAACTATGCCTAGCATGGAACTAGATGATGCTGTGTGAATTGTCTACCGATATTATTCTTATTATTACAGTTTCGTATGAAACTAGATGGCGCTGTGTGGATTCATTTCCAAGTTTATGACTATTATGTGGTGGTAAGTACTGACCCCGTTGGCGCGCAGCCGCTCCAGCTGCAGGTTGAGGCAGCGCAGGTGCAGCATGTGCTGGCAGCCGGCCAGCGCCACGGCCACGTGCGCGGGCGCGGCGGGGGCCGTGGGGGCGGGGGCGGGGCCGGGCGCGGCGGGGGCGGGGGCGGGGGCGGGGGCGGGGGCGAGCGGCAGCAGGCAGGCGGGGCACAGGGCGCCCCACTGGGGGCGGGACACCGCACGCACCCACACGCTCACAGCCGACGACGCCACGTCCACGCCTGCACACACGCACGCTTACTGAACACGCACTTCTAATATCCACACTCCACAATACCGCATCCATCAACTTCCACTATGCACACTACCTTCCTACCGCTGCGATATACCGTATACATTTTATACACACTATACTAACTATACGAACTAGTCTGCGTGACTACCATAGTCTACTGCCGCACGAGCGTTCTTATTGTGCGTACTGCACACGCACTTTTACCGCTGTCGTACACTGAGTGTGCGCGTGACACGTCATCTTCTGGACCGTTTAAAAGAGCAACAAGCAAATTTCTTGCTCTTCTTATAATCAGACAGCTTTCCAAGTAAATGGTAGATCAAAAAAATAAGTGCGATTATGTAAATTTGCTTAAATTTAAGTTTATTGGAATATATACTACACGAACTCATTTGCGCTAAATACTATATACATTTAAAGAATAGCTCTTAATTTGAAATTACAGACACTTAAATTTTATTTATTTGTCTTACGACCTTTGTCATATATACTGTTATATTCATACGAAACAAGCTTGGAGTGTAATTTAAAACAGTATCTCACCAACGATGGACCCGTCGGAGATGGGCAGGTCTGGTTGGGGCGAGGGCGGTGCGTCGAACACGTCGTCGCTGCCGCCGCTGCAGTTCAGCAGCTCGCACACCGACGACTGCTGCAGGGACAGGGATACCTCACACATTAACTGCCACTACGTACGCTCTAACACGCGATGGGATGTCACTCGAGATAGAATGTGCATGTAAATCGGGAAAGAATGTATATAATATATCTCTAAGAGTATTGGGATTATTGGTGTCGACATCTCTTGCACAGTTGGGTTCCGTAGTCACCTCGAAGAAAAGGTCAAGCTGGCGTCCAAAAAACTCGGCGTGCTCAATAGAACGAGGCGGTAGTTCACTGCGGTCCAGAGACTCCTTAATATAAGTCACAGGTTCGACCGCACATGGAGATTATGGAATGAACTACCTGCCGAGATTTTCTCCCGAGACTACAGCATGGCGTTTTCAAGAAGGGTGTATTAAGGTTTCTTAAGGATCGGCAACGCGCACGTGACAGCCCTGGTGTTTCAGGCGTTCATAGGCTACGGTAACTATTTACCATCAGATGGGCCGTATATTTGTCGGCCATCATAGTAGTATAAAAAAAAATATGCAAAGAGAATGAAATAGACCGCTCGCGCCACCAGATCACGCAGTCCCGCGTTCTTCAATCGTGCACGCTTTAATAATTGATTATCACTGCAAAATGGCAGATATCTTACTATATAGATATCTTTGCTCCAAACACATGTTTATAACATAAAACCTAAACTTGTCTTTCGAAAATAAAATCTGAGCGATTAAAAATACAATTAGAAGTACCTGCAGGCTCTCCTTGCTCTCGTGGCTGAGGTAGGTGGAGACTGTGTCCACGCTGTGCCGGCGCCCGTCGGCCCGAGCCCCCGCCCCGCATTTCACCCCGCACCCCGCCCCGCACTCCGCCCCGCACTCCGCCCCGCACTCCGCCGCTGGATCCCCCTCCGACTGACTGCTGCTGTTGGTCTTGTTGTTATTGCCTGTAACATACCATTCGTTCAGTTGTTGGATTAAAATAATTAAGTAGTGATAAAATTAAACCAGTTAGCTCTGTTCTTTTCAATAGGGTCCGTTTTCGATTGCTTGATTCTGCACTATTTATTCTGCAAAGAATTAAAATACATGTGCTTGCTTCTATTTCTTTATTGGAACTGACTTTAAACGGATTGAATATTTTATAATATAAACAACGAGGTGTCGAGACAGTATGAACTTAGCTTCTAAATAACTATAAACTAACAAGCTCATTATGGCGAATTAAGTAGGATTGAATTTACACATCTAGGAGATTCAGCTGACAGGATTTTGGCCTATGTATATTTTGTATCTGTGTTTGTGTGTTTACATCTGTGTTCTTTTGTTGATCATCTTCAGTAGCACCTATTACAGCCATCAAGCATTTCGCTTTAAATATTTGTTTTAGTTGTAGGTGGAGTTATGGTCGCGAAATTATCGACTATGCAGCATGTCTTTACAGTATGATTTAAAGTACATATCTAGAAGCTTGAATTAATCCATAGGTCGCTGGTTCAAATCCGGCTCGAAGGACCAATGTTCGGGTTGTACCGAAACTATAAAGATTCTGATAGGTAAAACTGATAAATGATACTGATAGAAACTTGATTAAAACTGTATATCGAAACTTAAAATATAACTGATTAATGATTGTAATGAGTACGCGCGGCGTCCTTGATGACCGAATACGAACTGATTTTAATGAAATGTGAAATGTAAAATAAAATGTTAATGTTGCGAAATAATGTACGATGCTAGCTCGTACAAGGATTCTGACCAATGTAGATTATGTAAAAAGTTATCTGTCTTCTATAGTCGCACACACAGCCGTAAGGCAGTTCGCTTTGATTCATTTGAAGCGTGGAGTTATGCCAGTAAAGTTACCGAATATGCAGCATGACTTTATAGTCTTTAAAACACAATATATGAGTGGTGGTGCTGTACATGTACATCAAGGATGGTCACCATTCAATTGCATATAAGCCGTCAGGGTACCTGTCATTTTAATTCCAGAAATGAAATGAAATGAAATGAAATGATTTTATTTTGCGAGAAATGTGGTGTGCACAGATGTTATAAAGTACATATGGTTCCATACAATCCGTCTTATATGAAGACATGCAAAAATATAGTGGCGAAATGAACTATGAGTAGCAACTCTCAGCTTCTCATTCATTCTCTACGCTCAGCAATTCCACTTCCCTTATACCTTCATCAGCAGAGGAAGAATTAGAAGAACAGAAGAAGATAAAGTATATGGTGCAAGGAACGGGCACTGACTGAATATGTTGAGGTTGTGCAGTATCTGCCGCGCGAGCCCCGGGCGGCGGTCCCGGCCCCGCGGGGAGGCGTGCGGCGCCTGCACCGCGCGCTGCGGTGCTCGCGCCGCACTCGCCACCTCCGCCGCCGGCTGCGCCCGCTCGCCTGCTGTTGCCAGGATAAACATCGACATCTTGTGTGCAGGTTGTTTGTGCTATGCAGTAGCTCTTATATCGATATATTTTAATTATTAATAAAATTATAGAAAGCGTCGCAAGGTAGCGGTTTACTACTTCCAATTACACTCACGAGGTCAAATTTAACGAACACAAAAAAAAATTACATGCAATACGATAAACAAGTAGTAGAAGGTTAAGAGAGATACGTGTAGCAAAGTATATAGTTACAAGATCGGTATCGTGCGGGCGGCGGCGGCGGCGGTGTGGGGGGCGCGGGGGCCAGCGGGTACGGGGGCTGCTGCACGCGGCGCAGCGGTCTCCCCCCGCCCCCTCCACCTCCACCTCCCCCCCCGCCCCCCGCCCCGCCCGCGGCCCGCGCCTGCAGCCGCGCGGCCGACAGCAGCCAGCCCGCGTGAGGAACCTCCGCGCCTGAGCCCGCCTCCCACGCCTCCTCCAGCGCGCACTGCACCTATATACAGTCATACTAACGTTTGCAACACTTTCACAATCACACACTGAGTGAAACAGATGTAAGGGCAATAAGATGTATATAAACAGTCACCAGAAACGCTATAATTGGATTTGGTTTAATAAGAAATTTTTTTATTTCATTTCGAGGACAATCGGTGAGAAGTTCAGTAGGCAATATGCTCGACTATAGTGAAACTTAGTCGAATACATTCTCCAGTCTATCTTCTCGAGAAGACAATGAAACTGGGAGTGAGTTTTTCCATAGTGCATTGGGGTGTGACTGGTGGCGCCACATGTCTTGCTTGCCGGAGCTTGCCGGACATATTGCCATATGACCGTACTACCGTACTGCGGTACTAAGGTGTTTGAAAAGTCTTGCGGGCTGCAATATTACGATGTCGTGCTGGTCGAGACGTGATGTGTATTACAGATGATGATAAGCGCGTCGCGCGGTGTACATAGAGGCCGCGCGCGGCTTATATACGTAAGGGCGCAATAGGCGCAGGCGGCGGCGGGGCCCGGTGACATCAGTGCATGGGCAGATAGAGCGCGTCGCGCTAGGGACAATATTGAGGCCGCGCTTACTAGACATTATTAAGGGCGCGGCGGAATTATTATTTTGATGTATCGGTGACTGTGTGGGCAGCGGGTCGTAGAGCGCGTCGCGCGGGGCCCAGTCCCAGCGCGGCCGCGCGCGGCGGGGGAGCGCACGCGTAGAGGGCGCGGCGGACGGCGCAGGCGGCGGCGGGGCCCGGTCGCGGTACTCACGTGCATGGGCAGCGGGTCGTAGAGCGCGTCGCGCGGGGCCCAGTCCCAGCGCAGGCCGCGCGCGGCGGGGGAGCGCAGGCCGTAGAGGGCGCGGCGGACGGCGCAGGCGGCGGCGGGGCCCGGTCGCGGTACTCACGTGCATGGGCAGCGGGTCGTAGAGCGCGTCGCGCGGGGCCCAGTCCCAGCGCCGGCCGCGCGCGGCGGGGGAGCGCAGGCCGTAGAGGGCGCGGCGGACGGCGCAGGCGGCGGCGGGGCGCGCGCGGCGCATGGTGAGCGCGCGCAGGTTGACGTCGAGCCCGGTGAGCGCGGGCTCCGCGTCGGCGAGCACGACGCGCGTGAGTCTCTTGGCGCGCGCGCGCTCCAGCGTGCGGCTGACGGCGGGCGAGTGCGGCAGCCACCCGCCGCCGTCCTCCCACTCCCACACCGCCACGCAGTGCACCGCGCCGCCGCCCCCGCCCCCTCCGCCCCCTCCGCCCGACATCTGATGCGACATACACGGGTGTACTATTGACTGACATTTATCATTATCTTCTGTCTTAAACATTACATAGTATAAAACGAAGTCGCTGTCGCCATCTGTCCGTTCCTATGTATGCTTAAATCTGTAAAACTACGCAACGGATTTTAGGCAATTTTTTTTAAAGATAAAGTGATTCGAGCTATATCCTAAACAACTGTTGTCATGACCTCCAGTGAAAAGACTCTTTACATGTTAATTTAGGATACCTTCTGTATACCAAATTAAATTAGAATTCTTGGATTTGACTAACTCATATTATTTTTTCAAACTACTCTGTCTGTTGGCAGCAACTGTCCTTTACACCTTCATCAGATAATAAGGGATGAATGCAGATGGCACTCCAAAGCTGCAGAAGAACTTATGGAGACTCCCGTCTGACAGTTACGACTTTAGTCTGAGGGCACCACTAGGGTTTCGAGCTGTCGTAACTTCGATGCCCATTTGAATTGGATAGGACAATTTTAGTAATACTGACATTCTTTTTAATTGTTAATTGTTAAAAAAATAACATTTTTTTTAATTGTTATCTGTCTGTCTGTTTGTTCCGGCTAATCTCTGAAATGGCTGGGCTGATTTTGATGTGACTTTTTATGACAGGTAGCTGTATGTAATAAGTAGTAATGTTGCGGGTGAATAATATGATGTTGTTGGTCAAGACAATGTATATTACAGATGGTAATAAACTGACAATATGTACATAGAAATAATGATCTTATATACTTTATATATAAAATTAATGTTATTGGTAATATTGATATACATTTTTATTGTTATTTATATGAATATAAATATGGTTCATGACACAAAATAACGGCAGTTTTTAGTACACAATATTGGATTTGTCTTACTAGACATTATTAAATGCAATTATTATATAGATGTATCTAGGTGACTGTGTCCCATAGTAACTTAGGCTACTTTCATTTTAGAAACATTATTTTATTTTAGAAAATTAAAATATAATTCCATACATATGAAGTTGCGGGTACAGCTAGTGATTCATAAGGAAGGTTTATATGTATAATACATGTACACCTGTGTGAAGTTGGGTTGGTTAGCTAGTAATCTATAAATTGCCTAGAAGTTCTCATACGGAATAGATAAACACACAGTTCTCATACTTATATCTAAATGTGATGACAAACATACTTGAACATGTAAACTGTGGGCTGATTATGTAGTAGGTGGCATAAGAGTATTATCTCACATTACATTGCATTCACTTGCATTGCAACGGTACAACTTGCAAACATCAGACACAGGCACACAATTACGTTATTTTTAAGTAATGTCTTGTACGAAACAAATTACCAGTACTTACAGTGGCTGATTGAAGGCTGTGCGGTTGTTAACGCTTCCAAGTATCATTCTTCATGGAAATTGATGCATTTTCAGAATACAATGACACTAATTTGTTACGATAAACTTTTAATTTGTACATGAATATAAAGTTTTAATAGTATGCAAACAATCAAACAAAAATCTCTGTCACAATTTAATTGGTAATTAAGTATGCATGCACTTGAAACACTTGAAATTCTACACAGATAGATGTACCTGCTAAATATTATCAAATTAAAATAGAAATAGCATAAAAATTAGTATTAAAGTAATTTGTCGTGCATTGTAAAGTGAAAGTATAATAAGTAAAAATTAATAGTAAACTAAAAATGTTTATAATTTTGACTAAAGCTGTCAAATACAGTCATTCAATTATAATTTATTTGACTGACGTCAACCCGAAAAGAAAACAACAAAAAAATTATTTTCCTTGACTCTACTCTAGCAGGACATCATTTTCTATACTTTTTTTCAATCTTTTAAAATCTTACAGCTTTCAGCCCGAATTACATTAGACGGCGTTTTTCTTCGCTTTCTTTTTCTATTTGTTTAATTTCTTTTTATTCACTATTGTTATTTTAACCACAGATAACATAATATTACATATTTTAACTTTGTTACTTCTATATTTTATATTCTATGGACTGAAGGCGGTGTCGACTAGTGTTGCCAGAACAGGTAGGTTGTCATAAATATGTGTGAATACGTTTCGATTAAAGTACTGTGTTATAGAAAATGATGAGTAAATAATTCAAGTTTTTCTTTAAAATAAGCCCAAGTTAATAATATTAACAATACGTCATCGAAATCATTAATTCCGGTATCCCATGTTTAAAAAATAATTCTGTTTGGCAACATTTTACGTCTTGTTTTATTTCGTATGAGTCGTTTCTTTCGTGTATTGTATAAATTTGTTATTAATATAATTGTGATACTTTCTTATTTCGTGTAATTTCGTGAGAATCACAGTTATATTTCATCTTTATATTTGTTCTAAATATTAGAAGATGTCTTACAACAGACAATGTAAGTTGAACGCAAAACCAAAAGCTAACATTTCTGCACGATGGACAATCGATGAAGGATTATTGACCAGTTGTATTATTTTATAATTATTTCTTAACATTTTGCCTTAATTCTTGGATGTTATCGATCGCCTTAATCTAGTGTTGTAGCTTTGAAGTTTATTGATTTGTGTATGGAATGTGGTGACGTTAATGTGGTATATTTATCATCAGATCGAACGCGCACCGCTGCTGGTCGCTACAATACGCCGGGTCAGTTCGTGTCGGCCGGAGAGGTGTGTATTTTATTTTGTATTATTACTTCATTAGTTACTCAGTAATTCAGTAAGTGATGTTATTCCTGTAGAAGTATTGATTTCTCGCGTCGGGTTAACTGTTGCGCTATAAATAATGTTTCTGTATAACTTGCTTTTGATTTACATATTAAAGTAAAGATTTCTTAAAATGAATTGGTGTAATAAGTATATTGTTATTAAAAAAATAATAATTAGTATCTGTTATCACAGCATTACCAAGCCCTAGCCCCGACACTGGCCCTATGAAGTCGTTGGCTTCCCTCTGACAGTGCTTTCACTTGATAACCTAACAGCCAGCATTGCCACAGACCCGAGCATGCTTCCCTGCTCCATGGTCTCTTACAATGAATGGTTCCCGCCGATGACATTGCCTACTACACTACTGTCCTCATTTTTTTGGGCTTGTGATGTGATATGCAGGGTGTCAGTGTGAGCCTCTCAGAGGGCAGTGAAAATGGGTTGAGAAATCATTATGCTCACGAGACCACAGGGTTTCGTGCACATACGGTGTTCTCTAGACTTAAGTAGACAGTAGGCTGCCCCATATTCCTTACATGGCTGTCCGCTGAAATTGCAACTGATATTAACGAAGGTGGCTAACATACTGAAGTGGCATAATATGAATTGAAGGTGCAATTTCATTGGTAACCATGATAGGAATATGGACGGAGATGGGTGATGTGTGCGTACCCTCACAGTGTGCAAGAGATGCTAACAGGTTTTTAGAAACGGTTAGTATGTGAAAGGGTGAGACTTTGTTGTGTGGTGTGTGGGTGGGAGTGAGAGGTGTGCCACATGGCTCACACAGCTGACTGAGGCCAGCCGGTCGGGCGCGGCGCTCCAGCGGGCAGCAGTGTCGCGCAACGCAACTACCAGCACCAGCCATGCTGACGGTGTAAGTACTGTTCTTGTAGTGGGGTGCACGGTTAACACATTCATTGGCTAATTTCTATAAAGTAGTTTACTGAGGTCATACTGGTCAGTGTGAATTATACTTCACTAGTTTTTCATACCCCGAACTGATAAGGGTTGTTCACCCATAGCAATTATTTTTATTTTTGAACATTTTTTTTATACTGTGGCAAAAAAAAATACATACAATCCTATATGTTCACCTTTCTATCACCAACCCCCATTTTTTAATAGCGATTTTAGTTTATATGGCAAAACAACATTTTCTGAGTCAGCTAGTATACTATATAATACTACTAGCTACTCGCCCCGGCTTCGCACAGTGTACACATATTATATATATATAAACCTTCCTTTAGAATCACTCTCTATTAAAAAAAACACTTCAAAATCTATTGCATATCTTTAAAGATTTAAGCATACATAAGGACAGACAGTGACAATGACTTTATTTTATACTATGTAATGAAGATATATATATTTTAGTGAGTATGTAATAATGGGATATGAATGTTGGATGTAATGAAACATCCATGTTCAGTTTGAACACTATTTTAATGTTGGATAAAGTGTACTCCGGGTCTTGAAACCTAACTAAAGCGCTGGAGGCATCTTTTAAATAAAAAGTCGTGCACTCACTGGACTGTAGACTTGCATAGTAATTTACCAACCAATCCGATTATAGTACAATTACTGATTGCGGATATACAATAAACAGAAAAAAAACTATTTTAATGTTGGTCTGATAAGTTTGCAACCATTAAAACTAATTTAAAAAAACCTGTAAATTGTTCTTTTGTACAACAATGACAATTATATTTTGTAATTTCAAATTCAAATTAAAAAATCATATATTCACTTAGAACATTTTAGCCGTTTAGTAACGTCAAATTTTTACATTATAATTTTTTCCCTACAGTCCGCTTCGTATTTGTCGTCATTTGTATTGAATGATAAAATTAGTCATCTTTGAATGTGTCAATAATGTACCTATACTCTATGTATTATAGCATGGTATGGTGATGGCTCTTGGTATTTATTCATAGTAATAAAGAGAGAAAGAACTAATATATATATATTCACAAAGCATATTTTTTTAACAACAGAGTTTTCTATTTTTCTGTCTATTTTCGCCTTCCTAGTCCAATATTATTATTAATTAATGAATTGACAAATTCTTTACCTGTGTCCATCTTGCAATCAGACAAAGACTATGAGTATGAGTGTGTTTCTCAGTAGAATCTTGTGATCTCTTGTGATGAGACAGCTTTCCGGATTTTTAGGTGTATGTCCCATATTTATATTCATATGCATGTAATAAAAATTAGTGCCGGTTGGTAGTTTGTATTCAAACGTTTCGACTTGTAAATGTAAACTTACAAGGATTATTTAAAAGAGCAACACACAAGTTTCTTGCTCTATCTTCTTGTGATGAGATAGCTTTCCGAATGAGCGGTAGATTAAAAGAATGATAACTATGACTATTCAAAAGTGCTTAAATTAAGTTTATTTGAATTAATGATTTTCTATTCATCCTCTGTTCAGAAGGCTCTGATTGGTAATCTGGTTTCAGTACCCAATGCTTTTTAAGGCGACATATGTTGTTGGGGCCTGTCAGTTGGTTGACCAGCATGTTGGGGTGATTTTATTTTTTATTTATTTATTAATAAAAGCTTAATGCACAAATACAAAAAAAAATAAAGGTGCATATGGACTTAACACCATAAGGCATTTTCTCCCAGTCGACCATAGGGCAGACAGACATTAGAGGGCAGTGCATTTAAGTAAATAATAACTTCAAATAAATAATAAGAAGAAGTAGGTACAATTCAAATTCAAATTAAAAAATCATTTATTCATGTAGGACATTTTAGCCGCTTATGAACGTCAAGTTTTTACATTATATTTTTTTCCTACCGTCCAGTTTGATATATGGATCCAATTGAGAAGAACTAGCAAGAAACTCAATTGAATTACTTTTTTTTTAAATCCAGTTCATTTACAATACATAGGTATTTATATAGGTGTCTATGTCTAACATTAAATGACAATCCCGAACATGAAAACTATTGTCATGCACGCTCGTCAGTCAAGTGATCGTTTAGTGAGTAATAGGCCTTGCTCAGTAAATATGATTTAACAGATGTTTTGAATTTATTTAAGGGTAATTCCAATATATCCTTTGGTATCTTATTGTAAATTTTTATACCTATTCCCATAAAAGACCTATTGACTTTTTCTAAACGATACTTGGGGACAGCAAATTTGTCTTTAAATCTAGTGTTAATATTATGAAATTGCTGTTTTTTGGAAATAAGTCAAGATTTTTATGAACATATAGGATATTTGATAATTATAATAAAATTCATAAATTGAAATATATATATCCAAATACATACATACATATATATATATATATATATATATATATATATATATACACTTAAGCACATAATAATTCACATATAAAATTAGTCATTTTCTAGCCAACGAAATGAATTGACGAAACATCTGATTGAGAATTAGTGTTACAGTTATTTATGATAAGCTTTCGTATTTTCTGAGGGTTTTGTGGAATCCTTTTTGAATTACATACATTTGAATGATTTGTATGGAGCCTGTCCCTCACCATGCTATAATACACATAGAATATCTTCATAAACTTCATATCTTGAGGTGAGTATCAAATTTATATAGTTTTTATTTAGTACTACCTACTCGCCCCGGCTTCGCCCGGGTGTACATATACTATACATACAAACCTGCCTCTTGAATCACTCTATCTATTAAAAAACCGCTTCAAAATCGGTTGCGTAGTTTTAAAGATTTAAGCATACATAGGCACGGACAGACAGCGACAGCGACTTTGTTTTATACTATGTAATAATGATAATAGTATATTCTCTGGTGAACAATCTTAAATATATATAACTCAAAGGCGACTGCCGTAGTGATCTATCATGGCACAGCCCAAACCACTGGACGGATCGGGCTGAAGTTTGGCATGCAGGTAGATGTTATGACGTAGGCATCCGCTAAGAAAGGATTTTGATAAATTCCACTAACCTACTAAACCTAAGGGGATAAATTAACGCGAGCGAAGCCGCGGGCAAAAGCTAGTGTATTTATAATAAGTATTAAGGATTATTATTCATAATAAAATATTTAAAAAAGAAACTAGCGTACCCACGTAATTTCGTCTGCATCACACATGACATTTATCGTTATATCTCGCACAATTTACATAATATCTTTTTAGATTATAGCCTATGCGTTATTCTGATCTATAAATTTTATTACTTTAAAGTTCCATCAAAATCCGATGAGTAGTTTTTACGTGTAACAGTAACAAACAAACATACATCCATCTTGACGACCTCGGTGGTCTAGTGGTGGTCACGCCGCTTTACGTCCGATGGTCGCGGGTTCGATTCCTCGCACGGCACAAACATTTGTATTCATGGGTATGATTGTTTGTGTGGGTCTGGGTGTTTTCTATGTATAATATGTATGTATTTACGAAAAAAATATCTATGTATTTGTATCAGTTGTCTAGTACCAATAACACAAGCTTTAGCTAGCTTAACTTGGGTCTAGATGGCGATGTGTGAATAGTCAAAAAAGAAAAAAAAATATCTATCGTTTATAATATTGATGAATGAAATTAAAATATAAAAAGAAGCTAATTTTGAAGTTATTCAACGTTATCTGGTTTTGTTTTAATTGTGCATTATTACTTCGACAGCAACAGCCCCAGCAGTTTGGGAATACGCAGCAGCAGTCGAGCACGGTCCCCTCGTCGCCGATGGCCTCGCAGCAGTTCAACCAGCCGCAGACGCCGCTGCCGAAGCCCCCGCAGACACAACAACCGCCACTGCCCCAGCAGCCGCCTCCACCGCAGGCTCAGGAGCAACAGCAACAGCAAGATCAGAACTTCGGAACCAGTCAGCAACCCAGTGTAGGTCTTGTTCTTATTTAATTTTTAATAAGTGCCACAGCAGGCGCCCCTGCTGCAGCCTCAGACCTACAGCAATAGCAGCAACTACAGCAAGATCAGAACCATGGAACCAGTCTGAATTTATTTATATACTTTTTTTTCTAAAATAAAAAAAAATAGCCTAAGTTACTCCTTATTACATCAGCTACCTGCCAAAAAAGGTCCAGCCATTTCAGAGATTAGACGGAACAAACAGACCGACTGACAGACACATAAAAATTATAAAAAATGTTATTTTGGTATATGTACCGTATATATATTCATATGCATGTAGTAAAAAACGGTTATTTCAATATTACAAACAGACACTCCAATTTTATTTATATGTATAGATTATATTACGTTTTTTGGTGTACGTTAATATGAAGTAGACATTATTAGACGGGTGATCACCAGGTCCCAACGTGTAAATTTGCTTTCGTTGCAGAGTTACCTACCGGTGGGCATGAGGTCTTTAACGTGTTAAATATGTAATGACTAATCAAATGTGTTTAAATGAAGTTTATTTGAATAAAGTATTTTCTATTCTATTCTATAATTTAGTTCTAACTTGCAGAACTCCGACATAGAGATGAAAGTCGAGCTGGAAATGGATGACGCCAGCCTCGATGGGAACTCTCGCCCTCACTGGATGAAGTCCAAACTGCCCGGTGGTGAGTATGTTTTTCTTGGATATTTAGGGAACTTCATGAAGGGAGTTTCATGAAGGTATGTTAAGGTTTCTTAAGTGTCACCACTGGTGTTTCAGACGTCCATAGGCTACGGTAACCATTTACCATCAGATTGGCCGTATGCTTGATTGCCATTATCGTAGTATAAAAAAAATAAGAGAAGACAGATCATGGATATTATTGAGAATAGGCGGGGGAAAATTTTGGGGCACACGACACGACGAACTTGTTAATAACATTATCGAAGGTTCAAGGAAAAGTTGGAGTCGTGTCTTATCAACAGCTAAAAAGACTGATAGAAGATCGTCTATGGTGGCGAGATCTCCACCGATAAGAGCACAGCTCTTAAATTATGAATGAACTAGCTGTTCACGCGACTTCGTCCGCGTGGTATTTAACGTCTAAAATAAAAGTAGCCTAAGTTACTCCTTATATCAGCTATTTCCAGCAGGTCCAGCCATTTCAGAGATTAGCCGGAATAAACAGACAGACAGACACATCATCATCTGCTTCTTATCCCATTTATTTGTGGTCGGCGTAATATGTTTTTCTCTTCCATTCATCTCTGTTCGCAGTCATCTCGATCGTCGTAGTAAAAAATGTTATTTTGGTGTATGTACCGTATTTGTATTCATATGCATGTAGTAAAAAACGGTTATTTCAATATTACAAATAGACACTCCAATTTTATTTACATGTATAGATCTTTGTATGAGGCCTATGTCCAGCAGTGGTCGTCTTCCGGGCTGCGATGATGATGATGATGATGATGATGATTATTTCTAGTTTGTTTGTAATATGAGAACAAAGATCGCTAACAGTCCTTGTTGTTCTAAAGGTGTAGTAAAGAAGATCAGCAAGAGAGAGAGGCGTCGCCGGCAGAACGAGCACCTCCGCCGTCTGCTGGTGCCCAAGAACGCGCTGATGGTTCTCAACGAGATGACCTTACACGAGCAAATTAACAATGTGAGTTTACAATTTTTTTTTTTTAATTTACAACTAGCTCTCCACTGGACTCGGTCCGCATGGAATTTAACTTTATTATTCTATAATAAAAGAATTTTTCTAAAATAAAGCTAGCCTAAGTTACTCCTTATTACATCGGCTACCTGCCAATAAAAGTCCTGTCAAAATAGGTCTAGCCATTTCAGTGATTAACCGGAACAAACAGAGAGACAGAAATTGTAAGAAATGTTATTTTGGTGTATGTACCGTATTTATATTCATATGCGTGTAGTAAAAAATAGTTATTTCAATATTATAAACAGATACTCCAATTTTGTTTATATGTATAGATCAGAAATATATATGCTGATAGAAAAATAAACTATATAGGGTCGACTGACGCATCAACGACACGTATTTGACTACCTCGGTGGTCTAGTGGTTTAGCACACCGCTTTACGTCCGATGGTCGCGGGTTCGATTCCTCTCACGGCACGAACATTTGTAATCTGGGTGTTTCTATGTATGTATTTACGAGAATAAAAAAATCTATGTATTTGTATCAGTTATCTAGTACCCGTAAGTAAGCTTTAGCTAGCTTAACTTGGGTCTAGACGGCGATGTGTGAATTGTCCTGAGATTATTATTATTTATATATATTATTTCTCAGCATAGTTGGTTTTGTAGACACAAGGATGGGTTTTTTTATTTACTATTATTAGGTTGTTCGGAAAGTAATTTCGTTTTTTTCCTAACTTAGAATTTAATTGTATTTTTTGCACTCATCTTCACACTTAAGCAGTATAATTTTTATATACTTTGAGAGCTCATATAGCAAGGCTTGTGTGAAAAATTACAATTAATTCTACGCAGTAGTTTTTGATTGGTGCCCTTTTAAATATGGAGAGGAATAAGCAGCATTTTCGACATATCTTACTGTTTTAATACAGAAAGGGCAAAAATGCTGTTCAAGCCAGAAAGAAATTGACCGATGTGTGTGGAGAAGGTGTGTTAACAGCACACCAGTGACAGAACTGGTTCCCTAAATTACGATCCGGCAATTTTGATGTCGAAGATGCACCTCCCTCGGGAAGGCCGGTTGAAGCTGAAATAGAAATAATCTTTATTCATATAAACTCATTAGAAGCACTTTTGAATAGTCATATTTTGATTCTACCACTCATTCGGAATGCAGATTCATCGCAAAAAGAATGAGCAAGAAACTTGTGTGTTGCTCTTTTTAATAGATGTTTTTTTATATAAATAATTACAGTATAACAAGTAAGAGGCATGCGATAATCAACATAGAAATCGCTATGGATTTAAAGTTTTTCTATAAAAACATTATTATCGTTAACGAATTCTTAAATTTTCTAATAAGCTTTTTTGCAAAGGAACTGTTTTATTTGACATTTAAATCTTTTTTCTGGCAGATTTATAACAGACTCTGGTATGTTATTGTAAAACCATACGGAATTGCCATAAAACGAATTACTAACTTTAGCCAAACGACATTTAGGTAAAATCAGTTTGTTATTGTTACGTAAGCTTTTATTAGTGCAATCACTAACTCTTTTGACACTGTCTATATTCTTCCTGGCATACATGATATTTTCATAAATATATTGAGAAGCAACGGTGAGGATATTTGATTCCTTAAAACACTCGCAATGACTCCCTGGAACCCATACCATAAATGGAGCGAATGGCCCTCTTTTGTAAAGTAAATATTGTATTTATATCAGCTGCTTTGCCCCATAACAAAATACCATACGACATAATGCTATGGAAATAGCTAAAATAGACAAGTTTAGCCGTTGCCACGTCTGGTAATTGTCTAATTCTTCTTACCGCATAAGCGGCAGAATGATAAAGGCGAATTGCAAAAAAGACAATTAAATCCTAAGTTAAGAAAAAACGAAATCACTTTCCGAACAACCTAATATTACCCTGCAACAACTAACAACCCCTTTTCATGCCGCAGCACTTCAAAGTGGAGTTGGCAGACAGTAGCCCGTTCTTCAAATCGCAGAACAAGCATAACTTCTGCGCAGATCTCACTCTGGAGGGACAAACCTACAAGGGATACGGTGAGTTTCATAACACTTGTGTCATAAAATATTTTATTTGTAAAAAAGCTTATTATAAAATTGAAGAAATTATAAATGATAGTAATGTTTTTGTAGAAAATATCTGACTTGAAATTCATAGCGCTGACAATGTTATCTGATTGAACAGAGATTAAGTGTGTAGCGGTTTCTATGTTCATTGTGGCATGCCTAATTCTTGTTGTAATTAATTATAAGTAAATCAATATTTATTTAAAAGAGCAACACACAAGTTTTTTGTGATGAATCTGCATTCCGAATAAGCGGTAGAATAAAAAAACTTGACTATTCAAAAGTGCTTATAATAAGTTTATAAATTTAAAAAAATTCTAAATTTGAATAAAGATTATTTCTATTTCTATTTCTTGTATTTTTGACCTTGGTTGTCTAGCGGTTTAGCACACCGCTTTACTTCCGACGGTCGCAGGTTCAGTTCCTCGAACGGTACAAACAATTGTATGAACAAGTGTTTGTGTATCTATGTATATATTTATGTTGTCTAGTACCCATTACAACAAGGTCTGATTATCTTGGGACTAGATGGCGCTATGTTAATTGTCCTGACATATTTATTTATATATTCTTGTACAGACCTATTGATATATCAACGCTGTCACAAAGGTGTGACCAGACCTTACCTAGTATAGATTAAAGTCGCTGTCACTGTCTGTCCCTATGTATGTTTAAATCTTTAAAACTACGCAATGGATTTGGCAGCGGTGTTCTTCAATAGATAGAGTGATTCAAGAGTAAGATTTGTATATTACATGTATTGGGGCGAGTATCTAGTACAATATATCTATACGTATAAATAATATCTGTCTGTTTGGTCGGTTATTTCAATATTTATATTATTTTGTCGCGACTTTTTGGCAGGTAGCTGATGTAATAAGGCTAACTTAGGCTACTTGTATTTCAGAAAAAATCTTTTATTTTTGAAAAATATAGTTAAATTTCACGTGGACGAAGTCACGGGAACAACTAGTATAAACTTTGTTGTTTAAATTACTAATCTTTTAAACATTTTGTTAAACTTTGCCGTTTTCCCTCAGGTGAGAACAAACTGATGGCTCGCAACGCGGCCGCCGAGCAGGCCATCAGGGATCTCATCATTAAACGACTCTCCAAAGTGTGCGCCGACTCCAGCGGCGACGGGACAGGTCAGCATCAGCTCGTATTTTCATAATTTTTTAGTACGTAACTGCAGCCCTAGGTCTTTTTCGAGACGAGGCAAAATTGGAACATACCATCCCCTAACGCCTTCAGGGAACCATGAACCACGCCATAGGGACATCTCTCCGATTGATCCTTGTCCTGGTCTTAGACCCTTTTCAGCCACTTCGTAAGTACGGTGGGTTTGAAGTGCCCTCTGCAGTCGCGACCATTTTCATCCACAAAAGCTATAAAGATCAGCTATGGACCACAACATTACAATAGTTTCCCTTCGCCCTTTCTAAGGGTAAAAGGGTGATCACAATGCCCATATCCAATGCAGATGAATACACAATTCATTAAGATTAAGAAATCCATCATCATAGATCATCATCATCAGCTTCTTCCTTATCCCATTTATTTGTGGTCGGCGTAATATGTTTTTCCCTTCCATTCATCCCTGTTCGCAGTCATTATCTCCCTTTAAGGTTTTACAATAAAATACCAGAGTCTGTTATAAATCTGCCAGAAAAAGATTTAAATGTCAAATAAAACAGTTCCTTTGCAAAAAAGCTTACTATATAATTGAAGAATTCGTTAACGATAATAATGTTTTTATAGAAAAACTTAAAATCCATAGCACTGACAATATTATCTGATTACACTAATTATGAGTGCGTAGCGATTCCTATGTTGATTATCGCATGCCTCTTACTTGTTATACTGTAATTATTTATATAAAAAAACATCTATTAAAAAGAGCAACACACAAGTTTCTTGCTCATTCTTCTTGTGATGAATCTGCATTCCGAATGAGTGGTAGAATCAAAATATGACTATTCAATAGTGCTTGTAATGAGTTTATTTAAATAAAGATTATTTCTATTTCTATTTCTTTCTTATCATATCATCTTTCACACAGTCCATCTATCTCTTTTTCGGCCTTCCTGTGCCCCTATAACCATCCACATTCATATGTAACACCTTCCTTAAAATATGATCTTCATTCCTACACATTACATGTCCAGACCACGATAGATATGTAGATAGATTATATAAAACATTTAAAAAAAAAGTAATTCAATTGAATTTCTTGCCAGTTCTTCTCAATTGGATCTATATACTGAACTGGACGGTAGGGAAAAAAATATATAATGTAAAAACTTGACGTTCATAAGCGGCTAAAATGTCCTACATGAATAAATTATTTTTGATTTTGAATTTTATAGATCCATTGTTAATTTGTGTTTTGGTTAGGAAGAGTGTTTTTAAATGAAACTTGCACGGCAGTGGCCCAACAACGAAAACAAATCCTCGGAACGGTGAGGTCGCTCCGTGAAGCCTGTGAAGACACCAGGAGTCTTCTGCGCTTTTGGGAGGAGCTTGGCTGGCTACTTTACGGCCCGAATAGTCGGAGAATGTCCAACATACTCTACAATGACAACGGCCCGAATGAGAGGCTAATTGCGGAGTGTCCAACATACAATTACAATTACAATCTAGGGAAAAAAATATAATGTAAAAACTTGACGTTCATGATGCGTTTATTACAACAACTTAACGTTTTTTAAATTATGTAGGGGTGGAGTATCCACCCTTTTTATTGGTGCTCATATGTGTCGCGTGATGAGCGGTGCTTCTCACTGGTCGATTGTGTGATGCCGTCATCGACGCAACGTTTGACGTCGACCAGTGGTGGTTGAGGATGGCATCTGTGAGTTTGAGCATTATACTGCTCACAGCAGATTTGCTACTACCATTTTAACATGCATCATATAGACCAGAGAGGTCGTAAAATATGTGTACATTGAATAATTATTAACGTAACGTTTTGTTCCTCGTGTGCAGAGTCTCAGAACGGCGAGAGTGAGGAGGAGACGCTGCCCATGATCCAGATCGCGTCGTTCGCGCTCCACAAGCTGTTCCTGGAGTGGGAGTACGCCGGACACAAAGTGCCGCAGCTGCGCCCCCCGCCCGTAGTACGTACTCGTTCATAGCTCCCCTGACCCTGATGTACTCCTCAACATTCCATGGATTCTGATTCTGGTCATCCGACTTTCGAGAAGGTCCTTACCAGGAAATGCTGGGGAAAGGGGATTGTTAGTAATGTGGACTAATGATCACATTGCTAGCTGATACCATGTTAGGTCGACCTCTACGCGGTTCCCCTGGAAACCATCATGATAAATTCCCGATGAATTTTTCATGTTGGGCTAACTGATCTGACCTCATATGCATCTCATCATCCTCCACTGGTGCCCCGCCAGGGTATACCATTAGCGCAGGCGGGTACACCATTCCAATATAATCCTCTAAAAAAAACCCGGACTTGCTGCTGGGGTGAAACACCCTTGGGGGCCGTTTTTAATGCCAATGTGGTGTTATGTACTATCTAATATATACATTTCTCGTGTCACCGGTTTCGTGTTTATAGTGCTTCGAAACGGCTTGACCCATTTTGATGAAATTTTCTGTGTATACATATTCATTGTATTAGTATTATGTGTGAGAATAGGGTTATAATTATAACTTTAAAATTGGAGTGTTTGTTTGTAATATTAAAATAACAGTTTTTTACTACATGCATATGAATGTAAATTAAACCAAAAAGTCACTTTTAAAAATTTCTGACTGTCTGTCTGTCGGTCTGTTTGTTCCGGCTAATGTTTGAAATGGCTAAACCGCTTTTAACGGGACTTTGTTTAGCAGGTAGCTAATGAAATAGGGAGTAACTTAGAATACTTTTATTTTAAAAAAGTCTTATTTTATAATAATAAAGTTAAATTTCACGCGGACGAAGTCGCATGAACAGCTAGTATACAATAAGATTAAATCAGTCGTAGTGATAAGAGCCGACCAGTCCCTACAAGCGGCACTCGTTCACGAGTATGACGGATGAACCGGCCATCACTGCGCTTGACCATATTTTAGGGAGCTGAATGTTTTTTTTTATCTAGATTTATTTTTGGGAATTTTCTTTTCACATGTCAACCCCAGAGCTCACTGCGCTCGAGCATATTTTAGGGATCCGAATATTAAAGTAAATAGTAATGTGTGTGCGTTTGTTCGTCCGGGTGCAGTCGTGCGAGTCGGAGGCGGAGGCGGAGTGCGCGGCGGCGCGCGCGGCGGTGGTGAAGCCCCCGAAGGCGGTGCCGGTGAACGCGTCGGCCATGCACCCGTGCATGCTGCTCACCTACATGCGGCCGCACCTCGAGTACCGCGAGCTGGCCGTCGACGGCGACCGCCCGCAGAACATGCTCTTCACGCTCGGGGTCGACGTCGACGGCGCCACCTACGTCGGGAAAGGTCGCCCCACGCGCTCTCACACTCCTCACACTCCTCACACTCCTCACACTCCTCACACTCGACGCAGTCGTCACACTCACACAATCGACAGTCGTTACATTCGACGCACCACACTCGTCACACTCACCACACTGACGTTGTCGTCACACTCACCACACATGCCACACTCGACACAGTCGTCACACACGACATACCACTCATGCCACACTCGACACACCATACTTGTCACATTCGTTACACTCGACACATTCACCACCCTAGACATACTCACCATCTCACCACAATCGACAAAGTCATCACACTGGATCACCACACTCGTCACACTCATCACACTAGCCATATTTTTGGTTACGATTACGGAGTTCCCTAACATCCCCAGTTAGTTTATAAAGTACTAGCTTTTGCCCGCGTTAAATTATTCTCTTAGGGATGAATTTATCAAAATCCTTACTTAGAGAACGTCTACGTCATAGTAGCTTTATGCATGCAAAGTCTCAGCCCGATCGGTTTAAAATTGACAACTTTCATCCCCTATTTTATCCCCTTGGGGATAGAATTAATCAAAATCCTTTCTTAAGGGATGCCTACGTCATAACATCTACCAGCATACCAAATTTCAGCCGGATCCTTCCAGTGATTTGGGCTGTGCGTTGATAGATCACTATGTCAGTCACCTTTGAGTTATATATATTTAGATTTACAATATTGACTATTGAACACTATCTACCTTGTTTTGATCTGTGCCACTGTGTGTGTAACATTATGTTCTCCCGCAGCGTCTAACAAGAAGGAGGCTCGTAAAGCAGCAGCTCGCGCGGCCTGCCAGGCTCTGTTCAACGTGAAGTTCGATGACGTGCCCACCGCCAACACCCCCATCGCGCCCCCCCCGCCGCCCCCCACCCACGACCAGCTCCAGCCGCAGTAGACGCACGCGTCTCCATCTCTCATCAGGGTTGCCGACTCTAGTTACATCCTATCGTATTCTAGTGGACTTAGATGCCTGCCGGTCTAGCTGATGATGAACAGCTGGGGCGGATCGTGGGCTAAATTTACTTAGGGACCTACTTAGTTATATTACTCAACTAAAAAAAAACAGCGACCAGAAATTCCCCGTTCCTTTCGATAGACGCGTATTTGCAGGATTGCCAACCTTATGATAGGTTTTTTAATATACTAGATATTTTTTTATATTCTAAATAAATGTCGTTTCATTAGGAACAGGGCCCTTTATATCCTCGGGGCCCTGGGCTGCAGCCCAAAAAGCCCTTAAGTAGATCCGCCCTGATGAACAGCATCAAGTTATGGAGGGAAGGCAGGTATAATACCGGTAGTCTCCGTTAATAAGAGTGATTCCAAATTTGGAGTATTTATTTATAATAATAATAAATATGTGTACAAAATGAAGTTGCCTACAAGTAACCTACTTACGGTTATATGTGCTGTGAGTGAGATAGCAAGATATTGTGCTCCCGCTTGCACTATAGTTTTAAACATAACTAAAGCGCATGTAATCAGTATATTATGGTAAGTAAAATATACCTTAATTATCCAAGACATGGCTTCGAACTGACTACCCTATAGGTACCAGTTTGTTTAACTGCCGTCACTAGGTTCGCCAACAAAAGTTCGCGATAAAGTACATATATTTAAACTACATTTATAAAACCGCGTCTAAACAAAATAATGAAATGAAATCGTAAATGAGTTTACCATCAAATTAAGTAAGTATTAAAATCAGACTGACTATAGCTATATATATATATAAATACAATTTAACGCAATATTTAAAAAAATATATTATTTAAATCAGTTAATCATTATTGAATAAACTAGAGTCATTTATAACTTGATTTTTAATTAAGGAAAAGACTCACAAGAAGAACAAATAAGTTGAATAGATTTATTATTAAATGTATGATTTTTTTTTTATTAGAAAGACTTAATAATGGCTAAGGAATGTTCCGATATCTAGAACATGTCGATTCGATACACACATAGTACTCAATTTTTTTTAATACACGTATGATACTCTTAAAATATAGTTTGTTATCTGATATCCTGTCATTTTCTATTTGGAATGACCTTTTTATGTATAATATTATATATCTAAATAAACCAAGAAACAGATTGTTCCTAAAATACCAGTCTTCTTAGTTTCGATATCAAGTACTTTCGTTTCGATACCGGGTAAAGTATCACAACACCAAAAAAGTACTTATAAAACAGAACTAGTGAATATTGACTCGTGTTTATTGGTAACGGGACATCCCTATTCGTAAGCGAACTATAATAGCGCTAGCGAACTATAATAAAACGAGATTATTCAGTGACTAAATGGTAGTCATAATTCCGAATAATTGCTACCAATGATATTTATACCGTGACAATTTTATAGCTACAGAATCTCGGGGACAGAATCGTTAGTACTATTTGTGGTAATAAATTTTGACAAGACAGTGTTTTGGCCTCACAAACTTGTCTCAAATATAAAATTCTCGTGTCACAATGTTACCATACTCCTCCGAAACGGCTTGACCCATTTTTATGAAGTTTTATATGCATTCAGTAGGTCTAAGAATCGGTTACTATCTATTTTTCATACCCCTAATTGATAAGGGTTGTTCACCACTAACATTTTTTGGACAATGATTTTTTAATTTTTTTATTAAAAAAATACATACAGCCCTAAATTTTTACCATTCTATCACCAATATTTGTTAATAGCGATTTTAATTTAATTTATATGGCAAAACAATTTTGCCAAGTTATAATTTTTGTAATTTATACTGTAAAACTTTATGTTGGGCTAAAAAGGACTTGTGTCCAGAGCCGTAAAAGAAAAAAAGTAATTTTATAAACGAGACTTGAAAATCTTTTCCCGCCAAAATACTCGAAATTTCATATTGACATTTGTATATGCGATTTCTTTTAACACGCTAGTGACTTCATAAGTGAAAATGTGACAAATATATAGTTTAGTTGCTATGTTAATCTGAATTCTATGTTATTGTTCTTAAGGAAAATGTGACAAAATATTCTATTGTAGATTCAGTAAGATTAACGTTTTTATAAATGTTGAATTATAATATAATTATTAGGTTAATATGTCGGCAACCCTATTTATTTTATAATCAATTTATATTGTATAATTAGTCTGTTTGTATTTTATGTATACATAACAGCATGTGACTTGTTAATATGTCGGCAACCCTATTTATTTTATAATCAATTTATATTGTATAATTAGTCTGTTTGTATTTTATGTATACATAACAGCATGTGACTTTTTAATTGTATTCTCCGTGTTATATAGTTTTACACAAACAGCAATAAAATTATACGCATCTCAAGGGGCGTCCATTAATTACGTGACATGTTTAAGGGGGGAGGGGATCGAGCCAAATCTCATCTAATCTTACGTTGGAGAGAAGGGGCTCTCGGCAAATATCAAGCAATTTTTTTTCTGATTGAAAAAAAATACTATTTTAGTCCATTTAATCCAGATTGTACATGCTTATTACACTTATAACTCTCAGCAATATTGATTGCTAGTCTTAACTAGTCGTAAATAAAAGCACGAAGCAATTTTTTTTTGTTTTTACAATAACAATCCAAAGCAACCGCTTTGGATTGTTATTGTTACCTATACAATCCACATTTTGAAAATCTCTCGTGAGATTGGGGGAAGCGGTTGAATAAAATCTCACGCCATCTAACCAGGGGGTGAGGGAGGGACAGAAAATTCAAAAAAACAGCTCACGTAATTTATTGATGCCCCCTTACTGTTTTATGTTATATTTACAAATACCCCGACAGTATGGAAGTACTCATGTTTTATTGTATTGTGTATATTTTATTTTATTGTGTATTAATTAATTGCACTTACTTTAAGAACTTTTAAATATATCTAGCTAATTGTATCCTGTAATCATTAAAATACCCTACGGTAATCAATATGGCGTTTTTATTTATAGTTTTCCATATTTGCAATATTATAAAATATCAATTACTTGCCGATGCGCGCGGGTTCGATTCCTTTCACGGCGCATGAGTATGATTGTTTTTATTGGTCAACCAGACTATGTAATATTATTTATCTGTGCTCAGATCAATACCAGTTTTTCTATGTATTAACAAAGAAAAAAATTAAGTATTTATATCGGTTGTCTAGAATCCATAAGACGCTCTGGATATAGCATCATATACATAGCTTGGGACTAGATGGCGCTGTGTGAATTGTCCTGGTATTTTTGTAGACTGCAATATTAAAATTATTCATAATCATAAAAGGTGAGTAAGCAGAATACAAATGAAACAATATATATGGACGTACCTACATTTAATAACAGCTTACAGTCGGTACAAGAAATTACTGTCAAAATTCCACAAAAATATTCCGTAGAACTTATACAAATTAACAACATAATACAGATCGTATTTAAGAACAAGATGTGGATGCCCTAATTCGATTGGCTGTGAGGTCAGATATAATCTAACATAACATAAAAAACTTCAACGTAAAGGTACGTCACTACATGGAACAATGCGTTCTTCTGTCTTTTTTACGGTGGGTTTACGATGGTAATTAATATTAATGGTTAATAATACTAAATCACAAATGTATATAAGGTCTAAGGTACTAGTAGTTTGTCCTCTGGTTTATTTGGTACATTTCTTTGCGATTGTGATGTAGGTAGATATTTATGTAAGATTTAAGAAATATTGTATATTTTTCAACCTCTAAAACCCATTAAAATGAACTTTCTTAGATAAAAAAAATGTAAATTTATTCACGTGTAATGGGGGCATGCAAAATTTCTAAAATTGTTGTCGAAAATATTATTAAAAAAAATTGTCATTGATTAGTCTTATGACAATATACAGAGTAGCTATTAAATTATAAAAAGGTACAGTATAAATATTATTATTATTATTATCTACAGGATAAAATAGTCGGAAAAGAAAATCTTTCTTCTAAAATTATAAATACTTGTCTAATTGATTTGAGGTTACTAATTACTTCATGTTTTACTTTCTGTTGTCGATAACAAGATTTTGGTTTGGTAGTGCTCTTTAGCAAAGAGCCTATCTGAGCCTTACTAAAATATACCCCAATTAAAATCTGCGAGTCCGTAGGTCAGAAATATTATAATGACTACACAAACTCATCAAAACAGTTTTAATAGAAATACCTAAAGTATTTCTTTGTAAATTCAGATCAATTTGATTTTATAATATCAAAATTAACATTTTCATTTTAATCCAATAAATATTAAATTAAACCATGATGTGAACAGTTTTGTAAAAACAACAGCATATAATGAAAAAATGAAGAGGACCTATTTTGTGCAGATTTTTTTTCTCTACAACTTTCATTTAAAACATTTTTTCATATTTCTCACCGTTATCGAGTTATTTTGAAAAAAAGGCGTTTATCAAACCTTTTTTTAATTACATCCGTTTCCCGTCCACTTAAATAAACATTTCTTTCTGAATATTATTACTCACGTATTTTGGGACTTATTTTTATATATTGCGTCAAAACTGGTAACAATATCATGATTTAATTTAATTTTTTTTTTGACAAATTTTATTTCACTTATTCAATAATAAATACCTACCTATTTCAATCAATATTCAAATTACATCAATAGTTAAATTCAGGGATGTTATGGATTGAAATATCGGATACGCATAGGTTTTGGATATAGAAATGATTATTATACCGGATGCGGATATGAAATTATTTCGTATCATCCGTTAGTTTCGGAAAATTTCGGATACGGATATTAATTTTTTAAGGAATTTTAATAAGTAAAATACAGCTAATAAAATGGTCACATAACATGTCTTAGGCTCCGTACCTATCCAATATTATCCGAAACTTTTATTTCGATTACGGTTACGAATATTTTTTTATATCGGTTATCCGATTGTTTCAGTTACGGAGCTTCCTAACATCCCTGGTCAAATTGTACAATATATTGATGAACCAATAGACAATAGTCTACAATAAACGAGAGAAACATCGTTGTACACTGATCTGTCACAATCTTGTACGCAATTATCACTTAAAACATAACATTAAACAAAAAATTAACAATAAAATTAATAAAAAAATCATTCTACACTATTACAACATACAACACGTCAAAACAACGACAATAAATAATAATTATACTTAAAAGAGGTATCATATAGTTTCAAAATACTGGAGTTGGCACAATGTTGTACCTGAAGAACCGTTACTTCGGTTCAAATCACATGTGATACTTATTATTAAACTTTCGTTTGTTATTAATATAGTTTAACGGGTTTTTACTGCAGTCAGCTTGTTTATAGCTAGTAGTACAACTGGTAGAAACATTGAAAGAGATAAATAAATAACTTTATGACCATTACATAGTATAAAATAAAGTCGCTGTCGCTGTCTGTCCCTATGTATGCTTAAATCTTTAAAACTACTACGTTGTTTTTAATAGATACAGTGATTCAAGAGGAAGGTTGTATGTTCGTTGTTGTATGTGAATGTATAATACATGTACACCCGTGCGAAGCCAGGGCGAGTAGCTAGTATAGTATAAAATAAAGTCGCTGTCGCTGTCTGTCCCTAATCACTATGAATGATCTCTAAAATTACGGAACGGATTTTGAAGCGTTTTTTTTAATAGATAGAGTGATTCTTGATAAAGGTTTATATATATAATACAAGTACACCTGTCTTTGACTTATATGACTTTGTGTCATGTATAAATGACTTTGTGTTATGTATAAATGACTTTGTGTTAACTCGTTTAGCTATATTAATAAAATTACATGTGGACGTTACAAATTTCCTACAGCTACGTCAAACATTATCTCTGGCTCCTATTCGCTAACACTTCCATTTCTTTCTCATAATCTCAATCCAGTATGGTCTTCCCTTACTTAACACAGTTATACATTGTACGACAGCAATTTGTTGCTGCCCACAGTTGACTCTTTCTCTTGCTCACTGTTGTATGTTTTTACATATTTATATATCTTTACATAATAGAGTAAGTAAATGTTTGTTGTGGTTCTGTGAGAACAATAAAGTTTTAATCAAAATTTTCAATCAAATCAGTCAACCAACAAAAAGAACGGATGCCAAAATCCAAAAGCCATTGTATGCATTTACAATGGCTCTGCATGCATCTAGATATAGATATATAGAGAGATTCATTCACTGTATGTAATCGACAAACAACGTTTAATTTAGACTGAAGTTCATAATTAAAAAGCGCCAGTGTTGCCAACCTTCAGCGGCAAAAGGTTGACGCCACAGATTACTCAAAGTGGATTTGATTTAAAATGATTAGATTGTCCCAGCCAGGTCTATTTCATTAATATAGTATTTTTAATACATAGATTTCGGAATGTGTCGTGAACCCATTAAATAATAAAAAAAAAAAGATTTTACTTACATTTTATCTGTCCAATAATTGTGTACAATTTTTAGTTTATTAAAATCTAATAATTGGTAAATCTAGTTTTAATTAATAATTAACGCTATGTTCATATTAATTTAATAAACAAAAAAATGTACAAAAGTATTGGATAGATTATGATAATATAATTAATAATTGAACGCTATGTTCATATCACAATGAGGCAAGGATCGAGTCAATAGCTGCCTTTACACGACACGTTTTTCACGCGCGTTTAGGAGCGCTCGGGATTTAGCGCGGGAAAATCGGCGCGCGCATTTTTGATTGCATTTTAGTATTTTTTGTGTTCACTCTATGGCGTGTGATTGAGCGTATGTTTTATGTCATTACACTTTATTTTTTAAAGGCGCTACAATACGCACGATTGAAGCACGTGCTGGCGGAGCGCGGTCTTTCTAATTTTTTTTATTTGTTTATTCTTTTCTGCGTGAAAGCTGATTCGCACGTGAAATAACGTTCGTCGAATGTCTCAGTGTTAATTAACGAAGAACCCTAATTACAATACGCAAGAATTCTTCCATTTTACAATTTCACCATTCTCTCTAAAATTACATAGATTTTTTTTAAATATTTATTAACGACTCCGCAGGACGATTATTATACTTGGAGTCAAACTACCCTACGATTCGCAGCCTACACTACCGCGTAAGAAACTCGCGGACTAGCTACATGCTAGAATTTATTTGGACGAAGTACTTATGTACTTATGTACTATACTCTGTTCACAGGGAGGCTAACGGTTAAAAGATATCGTGTTATTAAGAGTTACTTACTAAGTATTTCATTGAATTAGTGCTAATTGGTTTGTATTCACACACATAAACTTAAAAATGTAAAGTAATAATAAAATTATTTAAAAGAGCAACACGCAAGTTACTTTCTCGTTTTTGTGATGAGACAGCTTTGCGAATGAGCGGTAGATTAAAAAAATGTGATGACTATTCAAAAGTGCTTCAATGTAAGTTTATTTGATGAAATGATTTTCAATTCTATTCTTACACAGCATGAGTATCGTTTAACTTAGTCTTGAGGTACTTATTATTTCATAAACAATATAGATTAGCCGAGAGAGTTCCATAGTCACGTTCTATTATAAAATACCAACACATGCTGAACAAAATACCTACTTCACCAGAGTGATGTCTTTAATTATTTTAGAATAGTCGATAATGCTCCTGATCACTTCATTTCGAAGTATTGTTATATGTTTACAGATAATAAGAAAGGTAATTGAAATTACTGAAGTACATAAGTCGAGATGAAAACGATTAGTATATTGTGTACACACCTTTACGTCATGTACGTTATTTTTGCCTATGTTTCGTTTGAAATAGTACAAGTCAGTACCGCAGATCGTGGGACGTCAGCCGTCCCCGTGAACAGAGCGGCGGGCGGCGGGCGGCGGCGCTACAGGAGGCGGTAGGCCCACATGGAGAGCGGCGCCCGGGCGGCGGGCGGCGGCGCTACAGGAGGCGGTAGGCCCACATGGAGAGCGGCGCCCGCAGCAGCGCGCGGTGCGGCGGCGCTACAGGAGGCGGTAGGCCCACATGGAGAGCGGCGCCCGCAGCAGCGCGCGGTGCGGCGGCGCTACAGGAGGCGGTAGGCCCACATGGAGAGCGGCGCCCGCAGCAGCGCGCGGTGCGGCGGCGCTACAGGAGGCGGTAGGCCCACATGGAGAGCGGCGCCCGCAGCAGCGCGCGGTGCGGCGGCTCGCGGCCGCCCAGCACCAGCACCTGCAGCGACGGCCGCCGCGGCGACAGCTCGCGCAGCTCCACCGCGCCCTCGTAGTGCGGGTTACTGAACCCCAGCGACCCCGACAGCCGGCTCACGGCCTCCGCGCTCGCGTAGTCCGACGTCGACAGCTCCTCGTCGCGCGGCGCCGCGAACCGCACCGACGCGGACTTGGGCAGCCGCCGCGGGCCCGGCTCCGCCTCGTCCTCCTCCTCCCCCGCGCCCCCGCCCCCGCCCCCGTCCCCGTCGGCGGGGGGCGCGGGCGGGGCGCGGCGCGCGGGCAGGTGGTGCGCGGAGTGCGACTTGGCGAGCGCGGCCTCGTGCCGCACCAGGCTCTCGGTGGAGTCCCGCTCGGCCGCCAGCACGCTGTAGGAGCAGCGCGCGCCGCGCCGCAGACTGACGCCGGACAGCTTGCCGATCTCCCGCAGCAGGCCGCCCGCCTCCCCGCGGCCCGCGCCCCGCGCGCCCCCCGCCGCGCCCCCGCCCGCGCCCTCCGCGCCGCCCCGCGCCCACGGCACCAGCAGCGCGCTGCCGTCCACCCGCGCCGACGGCCACTTCGACGTTTGGATTATCTGTTCCCACGTTTCGCTCTCTGTTGGCGGACCAAATATAATTACGTATAATACATACACTACAAGTTGTCCATGTCGTAACTTTTGTTTATTAGATTAAAGGCGAAATACCAAATATGTAGACACTAATTTGGTATTTCATTTCTTTGTCTTATTTAAATAAATAAATGAACATTACAAAACTATATTTCTCATTAATTAAAGAATTACATCAAAAATAACAGCCATTTCAACTGTATAAATTAAGTAACGCACCGAAATGAAACCGCCACAGTTCGTTGGTGCAGTGTCCGTCGGCCTCCCCTCCGAATATGTAGAGGTGTGCGCCGGCGCGCAGCCCCGCGTGTCCGCTGCGCGCGCTGGGGGACAGCCGCGGGGGGGTCCGCACCTGCGTCCACACGCGGGACACTGCAAGCAGCACAATGAGAACGATTAGAGCTGTGGGGGCGGGGGGCGAGCTGTGGGGGCGGGGGCCAGTCACCGGTGTCGTAGTGCCAGAGGTCGGCGCAGTGCCGCAGGTCGCAGTGTCCGCCGTGCACGTAGAGCGGGGGGCGGGGGGCGGGGGGCGGGGGGCGGGGGGCGAGGTGTGGGGGCGGGGGCCAGTCACCGGTGTCGTAGTGCCAGAGGTCGGCGCAGTGCCGCAGGTCGCAGTGTCCGCCGTGCACGTAGAGCGGGGGGCGGGGGGCGGGGGGCGGGGGGCGAGCTGTGGGGGCGGGGGCCAGTCACCGGTGTCGTAGTGCCAGAGGTCGGCGCAGTGCCGCAGGTCGCAGTGTGGGGGCGGGGGCGAGCTGTGGGGGCGGGGGTCACCGGTGTCGTAGTGCCAGAGGTCGGCGCAGTGCCGCAGGTCGCAGTGTCCGCCGTGCACGTAGAGCACCGGGGGGGGCGGGGGCGGGGGCGGGGGGCGGGGGCGGGGGGCGAGCTGTGGGGGCGGGGGCCAGTCACCGGTGTCGTAGTGCCAGAGGTCGGCGCAGTGCCGCAGGTCGCAGTGTCCGCCGTGCACGTAGAGCGGGGGGCGGGGGGCGGGGGGCGAGCTGTGGGGGCGGGGGCCAGTCACCGGTGTCGTAGTGCCAGAGGTCGGCGCAGTGCCGCAGGTCGCAGTGTCCGCCGTGCACGTAGAGCGGGGGGGGGGGGCGGGGGGCGGGGGGGCGGTGTCGTAGTGCCAGAGGTCGGCGCAGTGGGGCGAGTGTCCGCCGTGCACGTGTGGGGGCGGGGGCCAGTCACCGGTGTCGTAGTGCCAGAGGTCGGCGCAGTGCCGCAGGTCGCAGTGTCCGCCGTGCACGTAGAGCGGGGGGCGGGGGGCGGGGGGCGAGCTGTGGGGGCGGGGGCCAGTCACCGGTGTCGTAGTGCCAGAGGTCGGCGCAGTGCCGCAGGTCGCAGTGTCCGCCGTGCACGTAGAGCCGCGCGCGGTGCACGGCGGCGCGCAGTGCCGCAGGTCGGTGTCCGCGCCGTAGAGCGGGGGCGGGGGCCCGCCGTCGCGGGCGCCAGAGGTCGGCGCAGTGCCGCAGGTCGCAGTGTCCGCCGTGCACGTAGAGCGGGGGCGGGGGGGGGCGGGGGGCGGGGGCGAGGTGTGGGGGCGGACCACCGGTGTCGTAGTGCCAGAGGTCGGCGCAGTGTCATATCAGTGTCCGCCTCCATTAATCAACAGTGCCGCAGGTCGGTGTCGTAGTGCCTCGTGTACGCAGGCCAGAGGTCGGCGCAGTGCAGTAAAACGATCCTGCGGGCGGTGTCGAACATATATTAGTGTCCGCCGTGGAGCGGGGGCAATTTGGGGGCGGGGGCCAGTCACTTAGTGCCAGAGGTCGGCGCACTGCCGCAGGTGGCGCTGAACGATATTAGCCAGCCAGTCGGGGGACAGGTGTGGGGGCGGGGGACAGGTCGAGTGCCGTCGACCGAAAACTGACCGCCAGACACAAATTATCCAGGCAGGGGCGGGGGCGAATTTTGACCGTCATAATACGAAAAAGCAATTCAGTTTAAGATCGTAAAATCAACTGACTGGATTTTAAAAAGTACGTAATACGCCTGCTATACATGTAAAAGTGTACAAAGAAAGATTGAGAAAGACCACGAGCATCAGCAGCTAGCGCATTTCCGCTTACTTCAATAATGCGTTCTTTGGCGCCATTTTGTTATAATTAATTATTGTTGCAATATGGCAGACATCTGACTATATAATTTAAGAGTTATTGATAATTGATAAATATTAAACGTATCTTTTTAGGATTAAAAAATAAAATAAAAAAAAAGTTATATGACAGAAATCAATCGCGCAATTACGCGCGAAAGTGTAAACACAAAAAATAGCAATCGCTCGCGTTTGCGTGCGCTAGTTTTCCCGCGCTAAATCGCGCGCGCTTCTGATTACGTGTGAAAAACGTGACGTCTAAAAATAGCTATTGATTTTAATGTTCGCAGAACGGTTTTGGTCGTCAATTTCCCGTGGATGTTCTTTTTGACGCTCTCGGTTCATGAACGAAGTCAAAAATTTACGTTTTTCTTGCTACATCAAAATAATGAAATTTTATATCGTTAATATCATTCGACAGTTGATTTAGATGTGCAATATAATCTTTTAGGACTTAATTAAAAGAACCGCAAGTTAGAGCTCCGTTCGATCGTTGAAGCAATTCTAGTCCATGCCGATTTTTATTAATTATGACCTGATATCGTATATCCGGCTCGAAGGACCATGAAAAACCTTGAGGTCCTAAAGGTACTATAAACCAAACACTTTACTTGTGTCTGTATATATGGTTTATTGGTCGTTGCTGTTTTTTGGAAATAAGTGAAGAGTTCTCTCGAAGTCTTACCGTAATGGAAAGCCCACAGTTCATTGGTAGAGCCTCTCAGGTCCATATATCCGCCGTATATGAGCAAGCAGTCCTTGAGGGTGTGGGCCGAGTGTCCGCGACGTCCGCGAGGACCTACATTCGCTGCTCGGGTGTCTTTTGTGTTCCGTCGTCGCAGTGTGGAGTAGGTCGGCTGGCCTGGCAATTTACGCCATTCCAAAGTCTACAAAATAATAACCCTATATGATTTTATGCGAGAGTTTTTATGTACATTTTTTATTTTTTATTTAAACGTCTTTTTTTAGCACCATAATAACAAAAAAAACATATATACAAACGAAAACAATATTTAGATTACGCGCGAAAGTGTAAACAAAAGGCATTCTTATCGCTTATGCGATCTCTTCCAGACAATCGCGCCTTTGGGTAGAGGAGAAAAGACAGAAGGATTTGGATGCGCATGATGGAGTAGAAACATTAATAATATTAATATATAAAATAATACATATCATAAACATATACATTCTACATAATATATAAATACATAATTTTATAAAATAAATATCAATAATATAATACAAATATATACAGTATAGGTACACAGCAACATATATGCAATTATGAAGGCGACTTAATAAGAAAGAAAGGACAGCAGAAAGAATATTTACTGAGAGAGATAGTGAAGCGATTTCACAGCGATTTTTAAAATGGTTAGTGATTCGTATATCCGTATGGAGGATGGTAGTGAGTTCCAAAGTCGCATAAACCAGAGAATGAGTTAGTGTAGAAAGAATATATGGGAAGGAGTTTTAAGGCATAGGTTTGTTGAAATGCGTAAGCCATGATTTTGGGACTCACCGAGAAAAACAAATTTTTCTTTAAGTTAGTAGGGAGATACAGGGTTAAAAAGAATGGAGTAAAGAAGAGAGAGGATATGCCAGTCACGGCGAAGACGTATAGGGAGCCACTTGAGCTTTGAGCGATCTTTTGAGAAACATGGTCATATTTGCGTAGTCCTTATACAGATATTTTGAAGGCGCTCAAGTTTATTTAATTGGACTTCGGTGAGGTCTAGGTAGCAGGTGTCGGCATAATCAAGAACAGGAAGGATTTTTTAATGGATGATAAGGGTATCTTACACCTGCTTGCGCTAATGGTCTACGCTGGCGGGGCAGCAGTGGAACATAAGATCAAATCAGTTAGTCCATCGTGGTAAATTCACCAGGAAGTTATGATTATTTCCAGGAGGAACCGCGTGGTATATTGCTAGCAACGGGGTCATTGTATGTATATTTTTTTTTCGGACGTCTCTAATGCTCTTGGCCGCAGCTGGCCTTTACAGCTTCACCGGACGATAGTGGGCGAGTCCAGATGGCACTCCAAACCAAAGGAAGGACTTACGGAGCGGCTTAAAGGCCAACTCCTGCCTGACGGATACGACTTTAGTCTGAGAGCACCACTAGGGGTTCGAACCTCGGCTCAGGCCGTCGTAATTTCGATCCCCGTTTGAATTGGACGGGGGATCGATCGGAGGGGCGTATGTATGTATTCCAAAGTCTACAAAACAATAACAAAATTAAGGATCGTTACAATATTATTTATACTATAGGTACACTTTCAAGACAATAACAATCCTTTTAGTATTTATGTGTAGTCCTGGCTACTGAACTAGCATTAGCCATATGACAGAAGCCAGTTCCTTCCTAATTTAAAAAAATTCAAAATATCTTTATTCATGTAGGTCTATTACAGACTCTTATGAAATGTCAAATCTACCGTCAGTTCGGAATGATATCGAGATGAGAAGAACTGACAAGAAACTCGTATTCTTTTCAAATAATAGTGGAGCACGTTTATAACAATACACAGTTTATAATACAGTCATTAAAATTCAAATTTGGGAGAACAGAGTGACCACCAGCACATACATGCGGCAATCAATACAAAAACCGCTACGCATTCATATTTCTAAAATAATTAAATCTAGAAAGCAATGAGATAAATAAATTATAACGTTGTATGTTAATAAACTAATTATTTACTTGATACGTTGTCATCTATGAATTCATCTATCCTGTAATAGGCTTTCTTACACAAAATAATATATAAATCCTCATAAATATATGTTCAAAATCTACCCTGTACCATCGTAAGCACAGATTATTATTCCGTCCGTTAGTTTCTGTTCCCGCGGTTTCTGTTCCCCTCCCTTACCTACAGTACTGAACGGACCGTACGGCGGCCATGACGCGCGCGCATTTTGTTGTGAATTAAAATAAATTAGAACTGTGTTAAACCTACTGTGAAACTGGAAAGCTAGCGAAGATATCTTCGAGACCCTGAAGCCCAAGAAATCCGCAGAACCATACAGGTACGAGACAGACGTTTCCAAATATTTTCCCTAACAATATATATACCTCAGTGTCATATATCCAAAGCGGAGTCTCGTTAGAGAGCGCGCCGGCCTCTCCGCCGAACACGTACAGTCGTTCCTCGTGAGCGCTGGCGCTGTGCTCCTGCAGGGCGGGCGGCGGCTCACCTCGGGCCTCTATTCGCTCCCACACACCGCTCGCTAAAAACCAGAGAACATTCTAAATGCATGACACATATACGGGACACAGATAAGCAGAGCTTGTGTTATGGGTACTAGACAACTGATATAAATACATACATTTTTTTTGTAAAATAAATACATATTATATATAGAAAACAATCATACTCATGAATACAAATGTTTGTACCGTGCGAGGAATCGCACCCACGACCATCGGATAGTAAAGCGATGTGCTAAACCAATAGACCACCGAGGCTGTTTGGTATATAATTGCTGGATAATACGATGTTGTTGAGACGATGTATTTATTTTAATAATGATAATGGAATGGTGCACCCGCCTGCGCTAACGGTTTACGCTGGCGGGGCACCAGTGGAGGATGATAAGACGAGCATGAGGTCAGGTCAGTTAGCCCATCGAGGAAAATTTATCGTGATGGTTTCCAGGGGGAACTTCTTGTCAACCTGCCATGGTATATTGATAGCAATGGGATATATTATTTACTGAGATGTACAACAATTATAATTAAATGAATATATAATATTATATAAAATAAATATGTTAAAACCAATAAAAATACTCCCCAGAAAAAGATATAAAAAAAATAAAGAATGTCACTAAATAATTTTATATGTCGCGGGTAAAAAACTAATTCCCGTATTTTTTGCCTATTCATCGTTTGCCCATTATAGGCTGAAAAAAAATCTGTCAACTCTAGTCCTAATCGACCCTTCCGTCAGTGACTACTCGACCCAATTACATGCAAGAGTCTCAGCGATGCTACTTCTGAACGTCCATCAAAGGTATGCTGAATAGGACGTGTCATATGTGTCGAGAGAACTCTCACATTGAAAGTCTCACTAGATGCCTATTGACGACCTCCGTCTAGCTGTTTACCACAAATAGAAATAATCTTTATTAAAATAAACTTGATTTAAGCACTTTTGAATAGTCACATTTTGATTTTACCGCTCATTCGGAACGCAGACTCATTACAAGAAGAATGAACAAGAAATTTGTGTGCTGCTCAGTCTTTAAGTGGCTGGGAATTCGATCCCCATACAAAAATGATTTTATATTTAACATTTTCTCTCTCACAATTAAAAAAACAACAAGAGAATCAGCGAGAACAAGGAGCTTGAAACTTATCCTATTTTCATGTTAGGGGCCGTTCAAGTATTTATATGTATAGATTTATGTTGAAATTCCTGTACTTGAATAACTAACGGACTAACGATATACGCTCGCCTACTAAATAATCGATTACAATGTAATAGGTTTGAGTGTTAATGTATCACCTGATACCCTCCCTTCAGACGATCTTCCGTATAAAACAATAAAGTTATTATGTTATATATAACATAATAACTTCATTGTTTTATAAAGGTAACTTCATTGTTTCATAAAGGTATACCTTTAATCTAATAGATTCTAATCATTTGATCGTTAAAACTACTTGAAACATAATAACGTGTTAGGGTTCACATCATTATTGTAGAAAAATCTGATATTTTAAAAATATTAAAATAAGGTAGTTTGTTTTTAGTACTAATGAAGTACCCAATGTAAGGATTATTACGAATATTATAAATAGCGCCATCTAGTATTTATGGACCTACTACACTGACTTCGGTCTATAAATACGGAGGTCGGTAGTTGAATAATCCTCTTTCGTTGGGTGAGCCGCGGCATTCAGTCGACGAGCGCAGAGCGTGCCGGTTGTGTTTTGGATACTGAAGTGAATTGTATTAGGAATGGGTTTATCCCGGTCTTAGTTGGGCCTGGGGGGAAGCTGCAAGTAGTGAAGGTGAGTGTTAATGCATTCTAAAAGGGCCTTTTAAACCTACACCTGTGTCTACGGGAGTTTCTCTTCCGGTAGCCGGCTTCAAAGCCTATGTCGTCATCACTATTAGTGGATCTTACAAACGTCATAGTTAACTATATCACAAATTATGACTATATGTAAAATTACGACTGTTTTTTTTTTATTTTATTTTTATTGTGTTGTTTGGGCTATTGTCAGATGTTTGTAGCACCTGTAACACTGCGATCTATTGTGCTCGCCCTGTTTCAGAGTCCGCTACCTAGATCCGTCAGGGACAAGAATTGAAGGATTTTCTTAGGAACGATGGTTTTTATCTCCTCGAGAAGAGTGTAAACTTTCCAAAGGAGATATTTCGCTTATGCATGAGTGGGCTATAACCACATAGGATGTGTAGTGGCGTTTCCTCTTCAGTTTGGCAGAATCTGCAGACTTTTGTTGTGCCTAGATTTCCCATAAGTATAATTTGCAGTGAGTCCTGTGAGGGCCCTAGCCATGTTGTTTTTACTCAATAGCAGTAGTCTATTGGAGTATTTGTTCGAGTAGCCCGATATTAGGGCTTTTGAATGTACCAATCCTGGCATTTCTTGCCAGTGATTTAGTAATTCTCGTTTGATTATTAATTTAAGATGTCCCAGTTACATTTACGACTGTTACATTTTGCTATTCATGTAGCTATATTTACTTAGTACTTTTTATATTACTATGGTGACGAACAAGCATACGGCCCATCTGATGGTAAACGGTTGCCGTAGCCTATGGACGTCTAAACACCAGGGGTGTCATGTGCGTTGCCGACTCTTAAGAAACCTTGATATACCGTTCTTGAAAAACCCCATGCTGTAGTCTCGTGGGAAAACCTCCGCAGGTTCAATTAATTAATTTTGTCAATCTGGATATTAGCATCATTTTATCATATTCATAGCCGTGTAGCAAACTCCAAATTTCACTGGGCAAGTAGTGAATACTTGTCCAGTGAAATTTGGAGTTTGCTAGAATAACTTTCCATCTCTACATATAAATAAAATTGGAGTGTCTGTTTGTATTATTGAAATAACCGTTTTTTACTACATGCATATGAATGTAAATGCGGTACATACACCAAAATAACATGTTTTACAATTTTTGTCTGTTTGTCTGTTTGTTCCGGTTAATCTCTGAAATGGCTGGACCGATTTTGACGGGACTTTTATTGGCAGGTAGCTGATGTAATAAGAAGTAACTTAGGCTACCTTTATTTTAGAAAAATTAAGTTAAATTCATAGTTTCATTAGTTTTAAAGATTTAAGCATACATAGGGACAGACAGACAGCGACCGCGACTTTGTTTTATACTATGATGAAATGTATGTATTTACGAAAAAAAATATCTATGTTTATTTCAGTTATCTAGTACCCATAACATAGGCTTTTTTTGGATGTGAGAATTGTCCTGAGATTATTATTATCAAAATATGTCGTACACCTATTATTCCAACTTACACAGACAGTATCTCCAGAAGTCTCGCAGAGGCACCGAACCCCCGGCGCCGCGGCCGCCCAGCACATACACGTACCCGCCGAGCAGCGTGGCAGAGTGTTTCCCGCGGGAACACGGCGCCGCCTGCAGCTCCGCCGCGCCGCTGTCCACGTAACTCCACATCTCGTCTGGAGAGTAAACATCAGGGTTAACATACCTTCTTTTACCAGGTTTCCCTTTCAGGGTTTATGCTGAAAAACAGCGCTGTTGTGCTACAAACTCTGCAGCATTATACTGAGCACCGACCTGTTCTGTGAGCACTCATATGCGCGCATATAGGTTTATGCGTATACAAAGGTACAGACATGTCTTTTTTTTTCTCCCGACCACACTTTTACACACACACGACACCGTTCTCGCTGGCGAAGACGACGACCTCAAACACATCATACCGCGCAATCAACCGGGCGCCTGCGCGCGCCGGGGCGCACTTTTTCTGTTTACGTTTGTTCTATACTATATTTTTTATAGCATATGGTCAAGTGATTACCGCCGCCCATGAGCACCGCAACCCCGGAGAAATTGCAAGTGCGCTGCCGGCCTTTTAAGAAGGAATAAGCTCTTTACTTGAAGGTTTCAATATCGTATCGGTTCAGAAATACCATTGCTGGATCACCATCCAGAAATGGTATTTCCGAACCGATTCTACAATGTGGTCCTGCATGGAGAAATCTTAATTCATCCAGATGATCAGGATGACCATAAAATACGGTTTATTTGTTGTTAACTATTAGTGATGTATTATTTTTTTCTTTATTAATAGGTATGCTTTTTGTTCGTTATACATTAAGACTTTATTCATTGTTAGTAAGTGTTGGTTGAATAAATTTTATTTTATTTTTTATCATTCGTGATAATTGCGGACCTGTATGCTCTAGTATTTTCCAGTAGTTGGTCCTAAAAGTTTTTTTTTATAGATATTCTGTTAGTACTTGCACGATATACTCGGAAAGTTATGTGTCAACGATTTTACATGTTTTTCTGTGTTCTAATATTCTTACACTGCTATGTAGACATATACCTACCAAATTAATCTAAATATATATAACTCAAAGGTCACTGACGTAGTGATTTATCAACGCACAGCCCAAACCACTGGACGGATCGGGCTGAAATTTGGCGTGTAGGTAGATGTTATGACGTAGGCATCCGCTAAGAAAGGATTTTGATTAATTCTACCCCCAAGGGGAAGAAAGTTTGTATGAAACTTTGTCAAATTTGAACCGATCGGGCTGAGACTTTGCATGCATCAAGTTATTATGACGTAGACATCCCCTAAGAAAGGATTTTGATAAATTTCATCCCTAAGCGGATAAATTAACGCGAGCGAAGCCACAGGCAAAAGCTAGTTTTTATATTAAAACTTAGATGCCGTTTTCTACCCAAAAACCCTCATATGTTCACAATTAAAATTCATATTCGTAACACAGAGTAAACTCGTATAATTCAAAAATATTGCCATGAAACATTCCCCGTCAATGGAACTCATAGCTCCCTTCCTATAAAATCGGCAAGTATCCCATATGCGGGGGAAATGAAATGCCGACGTCCCTCAGGGCTTGTTGCTCGACCCTCTCCTTCCTTAGTCTATAAGTATTGCTTATTGAGAATTTGCGCCCCCTGTTTTAGCGAGGGTGTATTGAACTTAACGTTTACAACATGTAAATATTAGTTGAAGGAGAAGTCACAAACACAATTTGAAGAACATAGTGTAATGGTTTACATAATATATGTTAAAAAATAGAATAAAAACTTCAATTTTCAATAGTTACATTACAAAAAAAGTAATTCAATTGAGTTTCTTGCCAGTTCATCTCTATTGGATACGGAAATGGACGGTAGAGAAAAAATTATAATTAAAAAATTTGACGTTCATAAGGGGCTAAAATGTCCTTCAAGAATAAATGATTTTTGAATTTGAATTTGAATACATTATTTTGTTTAATCTACCACTCATTCGGAAAGCTGTCTCATCATAAAAAGAACGAGATGGAAACTAGCGTGTTGCTGTTTTAAATTATTGTTGTGATTTCACATTTTTAAGTTAAAATGTGTGAATTCAAATAAATATAAAAAATGTATAACAGAGACTGAACGTCTAACCCAATAATCTAAATAGATGACATCCGAGAATCTGTCACGTCAAGTAGATCTTAGAGTTATAAGTAAGCATTTTTAGAATTTTTTTTTATTATAGTTTTAACTTCCACATAATACATATTTTTCAAACATATAATTGTTATTTTGGTTTACTTATTTTTTCTTGTAATGTGCCCCCTGGGGTAAAAGACTCCTCCATCTTCTGCCAACTCACTCTATCAATGGCAGTTTGCATCCAGTCTTTCCCTGAAGTTTTATTTGCTTTTTCAATAGCATATGCTGGTGGTCACTCTATTCTCCCAACTTTGAATTTAAAAATGAATAAATGACAGAAAAGATACTTATTTTACACTTTCGTCACAATTTTTCCATAGATGAGTCCGCATGTCTATTTTGTTTTGACTAATAATGTATTAAACTATTCACAAAAAAATAATATATTCACACAGTACTTTCAAAATATACGAAAGTACTAAATGTGAATTTATTATTTTTTAGTAAATATGTTGTTGTTTTGCACAAAGAAAACAGTAGAAAAGAATATAATAGAAAATCCTTTATTTAATAATAATAATAAACGTTCATTTAAGCACTTTTGAATAGTAATAAGATTTTTTTTAATCTACCGCTCGCCGAAAAGGCTATATAAGCCCATACAGCCGTTTTAAATTTATTACTCAATCTCATGTATCTGTCAATGTCAGTATCTTGTCATTAAATGTGTCAAATGTTATTTATACTCTCTCTCTGTTAAGTGTATAATATATGCTACCTAAAGCATAATATATTTTCTCTTCTCCGTATATAATAAAATTTTTATATTTAATATTATAAAAGTAATAAAACAATTGCAGTTGTAATTTAATTGAAAGAAAAATTATTAGTATTTTTTTTAATTGAAACATAAAATATTTTTCAAACATATATTGTTATTTTGGTTTACTTATTTTTTACAAAAAAAGTAATTCAATTGAGTTTCTTGCCAGTTCATCTCTATTGGATACGGAAATGGTCCTACTAGAGAAAAAATTTTATTTATTTAATTATTTTTGACGTTCATAACTATTAAAATGTCCTTCAAGAATAAATGATTTTCTATATTTGAATTTGTTAAATACATATTATGTTGTTTGTTTAATCACACACTACACACAAACAAAAGTTGTCTCATCATAAAAAGAGAGATGGAAACTAGCGTGTGTTGCTTGTTTTAAATTATTGTTATGATTTCACATTTTTAAGTTAAAATGTGTGAATTCAAATAAATATAAAAAATGTATAACAGAGACTGAACGTCTAACCCAATAATCTAAATTGATGACATCCGAGAATCTGTCACGTTAAGTAGATCTTAGAGTTATTAGTAAGCATTTTTAGAATTTTTTATTATAGCTTTAAGTTCCCCACTTCAATAATATAATTGTTATTTTTGTATTACTTATTTTTTCTTGTAATGTGCCCCCTGGGGTAAAAGCCTCCTCCATCTTCTGCCAACCCACTCTATCAATGGCAGTTTGCATCCAGTCTTTCCCTGCAGTTTTCAAAATAAATAAATATCAAAAATATATTACAGAGACTGGAAGTCTAACCCAATAATCTAAATTAATGACATCCGAGAATCTGTCACGTCAAGTAGATTAAGTTGGCACAACTTCGTAACAAAACCTTTGGCGTCTCGCCAACGACGTGCCTTCGAGAATTTTCTATCACGATCAGGGACACGTAGGGACGTGAATGTGTGTCATACATCAAATAGAAAGAACTATATAGAAAATTGGCATCTATAAAACTCAATTACGGTCGCTAATATTGTAGGAATCATTTTTTTTTAATCGACGTACTAAAATAATTGCAAGAACTTTATACAGTCTGTTCGGGTTATGAACACAGATTACACTATTTGCTTTTTCAATAGCATATGCTGGTGGTCACTCTATTCTCCCAACTTTGAATTTAAAAATGAATCAATGACAGAAAAGATACTTATTTTACACTTTTGTCCCAATTTTTAGATGAGTCCGCATGTCTGTTTTGTTTTGACTAATAATACATTAAAATATTCACTAAAAAATAATAAATTCACACAGTACTTTCAAAATATACGAAAGTACCGAGTGAATTTATTATTTTTTAGTAAATATGTTTATAAAATATTGTTTTGCACAAAGAAAACAGTAGAAAAGAATATAATAGAAAATCCTTTATTTAATAATAATAATAAACTTCATTTAAGCACTTTTGAATAGTAATAAGATTTTTTTTAATCTACCGCTCGCCGAAAAGGCAAAGAGTCTAAGCCCATACAGTTTTACGCTTTATTACTCAATCTTATGTATCTGTCAATGTCAGTATTTTGTCATTAAATGTGTCAAATGTCACTCTCTCTCTGTTAAGTGTCCTTGTAATATATCCCGCGTTTTTTCTCTTTTCCATAATTTGTATATTTAATATTATAAAAGTAATAAAACAATTGCAGTTGTATTTAAATGAAAAAAAAATTATTCAGTAGAAAAAGAAACTAAAACACGCGTTAAAAAAACAAAAAAACTTAATTAAAAAAAAAATATATATATATAAGTTTATTTTACATAATCTTCTGGCAAATGCTCTGCGCAATAGTTTTTGATACATAGAAAATTAGACCATAATATAAACAAACATATTCCTAAATATATTTGTGTGTAGGATTCGAATCCAGGACCACATGAGAGTATTCTAAATTGACCATAAAGTACTTTAATCGTCAATCTTCATTAAATGTTACCCCGCGTCTAATGCAGTAATTATGACATGCCCCGTACACTGTCACTCCGGTCCCGGTCCGCAGCCCTAACCCCTTGTTTATCGTAGCCACCGCAAGCACAGGCACGACATAACACTTTCGCTACGGAAAATAGCGATAAAAGAATCGTGGGGTTGGTGTTTTGTTGGAGTGAAACGAGGTGAACGGTCAAGTGAATGACCTCGTTGCTTGAATGTTAGCATATATTTTCTATAACTACTAGGCATGTGATATTCTGCATAAAAA